TAATTATTTTAAAAATAATACTTTTGTAACTTTTAAAGCTTAATGATCAGGAAAAAAGTAGATTTAGCATTTTAAATAGCATTATGCACTAGAGCAAAAATGAAAATAACATACCATATCATATTTTTTAATGTCAAATATATAATTAGTATTAGCATTTGCATTAGAGATGGGTTTAGAAGTGATCTATATTAGTGATTTTTAAAGTTAAGCCTAATCCATATAGATAGGTATTTTTTAAAAAGAATATTAACTGCAAACTTTTTGTTAGAAGAATTGCAACATATTAGAATAAGCATAAAACTGATTTCAACCATTCGATTTGGAAAACAGAAAGATTGGTTGATAGTATAAAATCAAATCAAAGAGAAACGCTATAGAATAAAAAAAAGATAAAATTAAACAGAAAACGCCTAGTTCTATTGAGTTTTTCCCCTATTTACAAGTTGGCTGCAAATGCAATATGTCAATTTATGATTTTTAAGCATGAAGTGCACATATTATTAGAAAGAATCTTTGTTAATGATTTTTTTTTAAGCTAGTTAGGCCAATCTATATGGAGTAGTGGGAATTTTTTTTAAAAAAAATATTAACAGGAAATATTTATAAGAATTGCAAAGTTTTTATCTAAGTAAGAAGAGATGACTTTATCGGATTTAAAAATATAGAATCAAATCAATGAAAATTTCTCTAGAAAAAAAAATAGAAATAGAAATAAATGGAAGATTTCTATAGTCCTATACAATCAGGAGCATGTAGAGATGCAACTCTAGGCTGGCCCGACACAGTCCGGCACATTCTTCTAAGGCCTGCGCGGGCCGTGGGCCGGGCTGACTCAGCCCATAATTTTAATGGGTCGCGGCCGACCCATATAAAAACACTTCTCAGCCCAGCCCACATCACGGATCAATTTTACGTAGGCCAGACCGGGCCGTGTCATGGGCTAAGATGGGTCGTGACATGGCCTTGAACAGGTCGGCCCATTCTAGCCCATCTACGAGTTAGGATGGGTAGGCCCATCTTGGCCTATAATGGGCCAACCCATCTTAGCTTGCAATTTTGTAATTTTTTTTAATTTTCGTTTTTGAATTTATAGACAAGTTAACAAATATAAAAGCCTGAATAGTCAATAGAAATATGAAAATAGATATTTTATTTATGACTGCCTCATTACAAATCTTTTTAAGAAAAACTCAGTGGTACAAAACCATGGTAAGAAAAAAATAATACAGTCAAAATAATTGTACATAAGATATTTACAAGATTAGTAAATATATATAATATATATAGTTAGGTTAAAGTGGGTCTTTGGTGGGCAGGCCCAGTAGATCCATATGGGTTGGACTAAGTGGGCCTTACATGAGTTGGGATGGGCCACCCACAATAGACCTGGTCAGGTTGGCCCGACACAATCTAAGCCCGACCTGACCTATGAAATTTCATGGGTCATGTTAGGCCGACTCATGGGCTGAGAAATGCTAGCCCAATCAAACCCGTCAATAATGGTAGGCTGGGTCGTGCACTGTAGCCTGGGCCGAGGAGTTGCATCTCTAAGGCCATGGTAGCTGAAAAGTTAAAGAACCAAAAAGGTAGTAGATAGACTTATATTTATGATCTAATTATTTGGCTTATTTGCAAATTCACTCTATTGTATCCTCCGATTAAAGGTAAAAATAGGGATGGTTATTGAGTGAAAAGGGATCCAATATGCTTTTCACACTCCCGCTCTCGTTATATTTTTACCTCTTATACCTGTCTTTATACACGCCTTACTCGGGGCAGAAGTTGAGGTAGGAGTCGTCGTGGGGTATGGGTCGGAGAATTCTCGTCGGAGGCTTTACTTATACCTTACCTATTTATAGAAAAAGTTATTGCAATGTTATTAACACTCATATGAGTTGCATCAAATTATATAAAATTAGGAATCGTTTGGAGTTTCTAAGATAGTAAAATAATAAAATACTATTAAAATTTTTAATTCCATATTTTTCTAAGTACTTATAATATGTAATATATATTTGTATTAAAAATATTTAAAAAAAGATGTACATGCATATTGGGGCAGAGGCAAAGTAAGGGGTGCTTTTCCCTTAGAGATGCAACAATAGGCCGGGGCCCGTGGGCCGGCCCAGGCCCGTCCTGACACAATGACGGGCCGGGCCAGGCCGGCACGGTCCGTTACTGTTCAAGGCATGGCCCAGTCCATAAATATTGGTGGGCTGGGCTGGGCCAACATATATCGGCCCATAGGTCAGCAAGCACGGCCCATGAAAAATCATAGGCCGGGCTGGGCCCGTCCAGGCCCATAATGGGCTGGCCCAGCCCAGCCCATCTAGGCCCATAATATTTTTATGTTTTTTTTTTCTTAGCAATTTTGTAAACATCTTGTGTATAATTATCTTGATTGTACTCTTTTTTTCTTACTAAGGTTTTGTCCCACTAGATTTTTCTTAGAAAGGTTTTTATTTAATGAGGTAATTGTAAATAAAATATTCATTTTCATATTTCCATTGACTATTCAAACTTATATATTTGTTATCTTGTTTAAAAATTCAAAAATAAAAGATAATTTGAAAATTAGATGGCCAAAGATGGGCCTTGAGTGGGCCAGTCCATTCAAAGTCCATGACACAGCCCATCCTGGCCCGCGGCACGGCCCAGCCTGACCAACGTAAAATTGACCCATGGTGTGAGCTGGGCCGAAGTCATTATTATACGGGCCGACCTGGCTCACAGCCTGCGTGGACCTAAAGAGAACGAGCCAGGCCGGGCCGGACCGTTCTTGCATCTCTATTTCCCCGTCCCCACCCCCACCTCGTGCCTGTTTCGGAGGATAATATATATCTCATACCCGCTCCCATCTCTATTAAACAACTCTCATACCCGCCTATTCGAAGAGGATATCTGCAGGTAAAAAGCTCATCCTTAGATTAAAAATGAATACATTTTATTGAAACCGTCCCCACCCGTAACCAGCGCCAGAGTAGTCTACAGGATCATATTTGCTGGAATTAACATGGACTATAAGCTGCCGTGGGCGACCATCAGACTAATCTACTAGGTTACCATAGGTAATCTACCATACTGTGTCGTATGTTCAACACAAATCACTTGCTGTCTCTTGCCCCTGTCGCTAAAGTAATATTGTAAATTAAAAAAATAAAGAGAAAATTAGTGAAATCACTTTTTAAATGCATTTCTCTAAATTTTTACTCTTTACTCTTAATTAATATCATTTTGACTAATATAATTCTTTGATTAAAGGGTATTAATCAATAATAAAGGGTGAAAATCTAAGACTCATAGATTGTAAGAAGTATTTGTCTCATTTTCTTAATTATGAATTTATAACTAATAATTTACAAGATTAATTTTTAAAATCAATACATATGATCGATTGCCTTTGGCGAAGGTCGTTAGGGTATTAGATTAGTACATTGCTAAAGTAACTAGCGAAATAAACAGAAGGATTACAAAAACATTGAATGACAAAAACAAAAAAAAATTTTGAAATCAGGTAAATCATGCAATTATAAATCTACCTACTTTGCGCCCATTAGAGTAATTACTAGGATACCACCGGTAATCTAACGGGTTATATCGCATCTTCTATACAGGTAACCAATCCTCTCCAGCCCAGTGACCAGTGACCAGTGACCAGAGTAATATTTTCGATTACCAGTAAATAATCTATACGAGATTTATTTTTAAAATCAACAAATACCATCGTCGTCTTAATGCATGTTGTTGAACTAATATACTAGATTAATACGTGTTATCTATTGAATTAACTCACACTCAACATAAAATTACAAAAAGGAAAAGATTACAAAAACATTAGGGACCTGTAGCATGACTCTTTAAATTTAAATTTTTGTGAGAAAAACATTGTTTAAACTGACTTGAAAAAACGGATCTTGTAATCATGTAACGTCAAATCCACACACTTTGTGGTCGTCGAATTGCAAAACCTCGTGCAATGGAGATCTCCAGGTGATATCTCCTTAGCGCGGCTCCTACGCATAGAGGTGCAACCATCGTAGGAAGATCTTACGCAAAAATCTTAAATCTTAGATCTCCCCAATATTGGGGTTGTGATTTTTTTGAATTAACATAATAAGAAGAAATCAAAACATGATGGGGGAGGATAGTAGTGCTTTTAGAATTTAGTTGAAAAAGGGGGAAAAGTACAGTCATTCTAAAACACCTTTTATGAAAGATCATGTGTGAAGATTAGTGCTTTAGCCTCGTTCACTTCGCAGATTTAAGTTTTTAATTCGAGCTGAGATATGACATTTTCTGAGAGCGTTTCACTGTAGCAGAAAAAGTTAGATGTGACATTTTATGAGAGATTTTTACTGTAAAAACCTAAAACTGAAAACTCAAATCGGTGAAAACTCAAGATTTTAATGCTTTATTATGTCAAGATTTTAATGCTTTATTATGTCAAGATTTTACCTGTTTTGGTAATGAGACACGTTCATATTTTAAGGGTGTGATTTCTAACGCTTCAAAATTTGAAGGTAAAAAACTGCATGGTTCGGAAACTAAACTTGAAAGGAAAATGTTGTATAATTCAATGGGAATATATCCCATTCTTTCATAGAGAGCGAGTCTCACTTGTGGGACTCATGTAGGACTCCATCTTTTATGAGAGTGGGGATTTAACATATCGTGACAAATAATATTACTCTAAGTAAAATTAACTATGAAACTTTTTCATCGAATTAGGTATTATTATTTCTATAATTCAAGTAACAACTTAACTTTTATTTTTACAATAATTTTTCTTATAAAAATTTAAATTTAATTTTTTTGTTATAATATTTTTCTTTAACAAAAATTTAAATGCTACAATATTTTCATCTTATAAAAATTTAAATTTAACTTTTTAAATTGTGAAATAAACATAACCCATATTGAACCTGCATGTCAAAAAAAAAAAAAAAGCTGCATGTGAAAATTGAAAATTTGAAATTATCAGCACGTGCTAATGCGTCTCCTCGCACGTGCAGAATATCACTTTTTTTTTTCTTTTTAATCTTAGAGCGAAGAAAGAAATCGCATCAGACCAAAGGTCCATCCAAAGCTTTTTTGAATGGGGGAAAAAGCAAAAGAAAACCAAAAGCCCAAAATGATAAAACAACAGATAATAATCGGATAACACAACACACACACACACATGCTTATGTTGTTACATGGCTAAGCCCAACTTTCCCGAGAAACAAACAATATCAACAACAACAACATGGGGAACGTGGGAGGAGCTCCTCCTCGCGTGTGCCGTCCACCGCTACGGCGCCGATAGTTGGGACTCCGTCTCCTCCGAGCTCCGCAAGCGCACCTCCACGCTTCACCTCCTCACTCCTCACTCCTGCAAGCAAAAGTACCACGACCTCCGCCGCCGTTTCACCCAAAACGCCGTCGTTTCCTCCGCCGCCGCCGACGGCGCAGCCACCGCCAACGCCGCTGTCGCCTCCATTCCTTTCCTCGACGAGCTCCGCCGCCTCCGCGTCGCCGAGCTCCGTCGCGAAGTCGAACGCTACGACCTCTCCATCGTGTAAACACCTTGAGCTTGAGATCTCACAAAACTCGAACGTTTGAAATTTTGAGGGAGAGATTTTTGTTTTTTGTTTTTTTTTTTGACCTTTTTCGAATGGCGAAACGTACAGGTCTTTGGAATCGAAGGTGGAGAAATTAAAAGAAGAGCGCGAACAAAGCTTGAAAGAGACTGATGAGAGAGCAGAGAAAGCGGATCTAGAGAAGGAGGACGGGGAAACCAAGCCGGAAAACTGGTCGCCGGAGAATATCGCCGAGAAAGCTGTCTCCGGCGAGGGTTCCGTCCACGACGAGCGGTCCGTCGACGAGTCGAATTCGACGAATCTCAAGGACGATGCGCCGGAAACCGGAGGCGCCGCGGCCGAGAAAGAACCGGAGCGGGCGAGGGAGTGCGGAAAACCGGCAGTGGAGGATTCGTACGACGGGAGCTCGGAGACGATAGCGAAGGGATCGGCGGCGGTGTCGCCGGTGGAGGAGTCGGAGAAGGTGAACTCGGAGAAGGACGGCGGCGGAGAGTCGGCGGAGTCGAAGGGAGGGGAGGAGGGGGCGAAGGAGGTTTGCAGCAGCGAGATGCAGAGCTCGACCAGCTTGTCGAGGAAGAAAGTGGAGGAACCGGACGAACCGGACGCGGAGGATCAATCCGTCGCGACCAAGCGGGCCCACCACGTTGAATCTAAGTCGTTGGCTGATTTCCTCGAGATCCTACGGTCTCACAGGTCCGGATCATTTTTCGAGCGCCGACTCGAGATACAGGTGAAGTGAATATATTGTTCCAATTTCAATTTTTAGAGCCAAAACGATTTTTTATTCAATATATGTAAATATATATATTTAAAAAAAAAAAGAGTTCAATAACGTTCTCTTTAAATGAAGCTGTTTATTTGACAAAATACATACACAAGTACTGAATCAGACCCTAAAACGAAATAGATTTTGACACGTCCAGAAAATGTAGAATTATTATTGTAGGAATTTTATGGTAGGGCACGGTTTTTAATACTACCTATAGGATAATTTTTTTTTAGTTACTGTGCATTATTTTTAACTTAAACACCTATAAATCATACTGTTAAAACTTGATCGAATGGCTAATGAAATGCACTCTACCTAAAATTTACTAATTATAAAGTGAAGTGAATAAATAATTTGATGCCTAGAAAGTGAGACAACAGACAAAAATTTTGGGTTCATTGATACCTAGTATGTGAGCCACACGTTTAAGCCAAAATTTGGTCGATCATGGTCAAAGCAAAGGAGCATTTATGATAGGGTGGTTTATAATAATTGCTTAATTTAGTGATATGTTATTTGCCACGTCATTTAATTAAATTAAGTGAAATTTAGTTGGGGCTTTTTTTTTTTTTTTTTTTTTTTTGGTAGTTGCATGGTTGGTGGGGCAACAATTTAGGCCTCGTTCATTTCGCTGATTCGAGTTTAGCATTCGAGTTTTGCTACAGTAAAAAGCTCTCACATATAATCACATCTCAACTCAAATTCTAAACTCGAATCAGCGAAGTGAACGGGGCCCTAACTTTTTTACTACAGTAAAAAGCTCTCACATATAATCACATCTCAACTCAAATTCTAAACTCGAATCAGCGAAGTGAACGGGGCCCTAACTTTTTTACTACAGTAAAAAGCTCTCACATATAATCACATCTCAACTCAAATTCTAAACTCGAATCAGCGAAGTGAACGGGGCCCTAACTTTTTTACTACAGTAAAAAGCTCTCACATATAATCACATCTCAACTCAAATTCTAAACTCGAATCAGCGAAGTGAACGGGGCCCTAACTTTTTTACTACAGTAAAAAGCTCTCACATATAATCACATCTCAACTCAAATTCTAAACTCGAATCAGCGAAGTGAACGGGGCCCTAACTTTTTTACTACAGTAAAAAGCTCTCACATATAATCACATCTCAACTCAAATTTTAAACTCGAATCATTGAAACGAACGAGGCGTTAATATACTCAAGCTTCAATTACTGATTTTGATGTCTTAACCAGTCACTTCATTATTTTAAATGCACATAGCGCAGTTAAAATTCCTATTTCATTCTCTCTAATTCCTGAAGTATCAATTTTCAAATAATTAAAAAAAAAAACACAAGGCCTTGTGAGTTTTTCATGATTACGACTTTGTTCTTCGAATTAATAATCTTATTAAGTTAGGCCCACTTTGAAAACCTTTTTTGAAAGGTAAAAGATTAGGAGTCCCTTAAATTTTCTTTGATTTTGCACTTTAGTCCTCAAAACTTAAAGTTGGTCTGCTTCGTGAATATTTGCAGGATACCACCAACTACATCAACATGATTCGACAACATATAGATTTCGAAATGGTCAGAATTAGACTTGAGGAAGGCTGGTACTCAGGCTGCAAGAGCAAATTCTTCCGTGATGTGTTGCTTATTCTCAACAATGCCATTGTTTTCTTTGGTAGAAGGTCCCCGGAATCCAAGGCTGCCTTGGAGCTTCGCTTGCTGGTTCTCAAGGAGATGGCTCAAAGGTCCGCCAAGCAGGATTCATTGCCAAAAGAAGAAACTCAAGCACCGAAACCGGAACCAGAAGAAACAGACATGTTGCTGAGGAAACCGAAACTTTCGGTACCAATGAATGCCTGTCGAAAGCGCAGCTCGATCACAGCAAGAGCAGCTTCCACGTCGTCTTCCGGACCCGAAAGGAAAAAGGAGCAAACACAAACAAGTGCATTGCTTGATGTAAAACCAGCTATGAGTTGGAAACAGAGTGATAAGTCCTCGGATAAAGCCGAGGAGCTTCCTAGCACGAAGAAGAGAAGGAAAGAAAGACTTAGAGCAGGCGCAAAAAACAACAGCTCGAATAAAAGTAGTGTTAGCCGTTCTAATGCTGAGAACAACAAGAACTCAGGTGCTAATTCTAATGCCAGTCCCTCAACTAAAGGAGGGACTAGCAATGAGATTTCGATTTCAAAATCAGACAAGAAGAATAATAACAGTAATGCCAGTGGGAAAAAGCAAAGCGCAGCGAATTTCTTGAATAGGATGAAGCGGGGCTCCTTGTCGAGCAACAGATCGTTGCCAGAGACATTGAAGGATTCTGATAAGAGCAGCAGAGGAGGGGCAGAGCAGAAGAAGAGTGGCGGTAACAAGGGGAACAGCAAGCAAAAAGAGCAAACCTCCACACGCAAAGCGTCCGGTGGGAAGCAGGCAAAAGAGCACGAGAGTCCCTCAAAGAGGAGCGTCGGGCGGCCTTCAAAGAGAGCGGCTGCAGCCGCAGTGCCGGCTAAACGGAGTAGGCAAAGCATTGAAACGGAAGTGACTGCTGCTCGGAATGCGAAGAAGCGAAGGAAATGAGTGCAGTTTTTTTCCTCTTGACAAAGATGGTTTTGGCTTTGTCATGCAGATGAAATGGCTCTCGGAGGCTGCTCTGAAAGTCATGATCTTGTTATGGCAAATGGGTCTCTCACAATCTAATAGGGATTTTGAAGGTGAGATCTTCAGCTAGTGTATAACTTCTTTGTAGCATTGTTGATTATTAGGGGTTTGGATTAGTATATTAGATTTTTCTTCATTTTGGCTATTGAAACTTCGTTTATGCACTTTATTGGTAGGGGGGATTGAATGATCACTAATAGCCGTGTGTTTTTTTGTGCCGCATTTTGATGCTTCTCCCCCTTTTATTGGCAAGCAATGTATATATATCCTTCATTTTAAAGCTTAATATTTTTCATCTGAGTTTTTATGCTCCCTTGAAATCCTTGAATTATTTGATATGAAAACATCAATACAAAAAGTTCGTGTCCCTCATTCACGGGATTCATTGGAGTAATATTCTAAAAGTGCAGGCCCTTTTCTGATTTCTGGGATAACAAATAATCGATGAAGCTTGTAATAATGATGCCTGAAGAAGTATGTTGTGTTAGGATGTGGTTTTAATGATTATTTTAATATTATTTATTAGTAGGTATTATTATTTTAATTATATGATGAGATTAGATTCTTATCACGACATATTATTAAATTTTTATATTTGATAAGTAAACATCAATAGAAAAGTAATTATTAATTAATTAATATATATATTTTTTTAAAAAGAAACTTTTGAATTTATTACATGTTTATTGTGACAATTGGAAAATGCCAAGAGGAAAGAACTGAGAAAACGAGTTGTTATTTTCAGGGAAAATATTACTAAATCCATGCATATATTTTTAAATTTCATTTATATTTTTGCCCATTAGATAAATAACTATCCTTTAGGGAAGATAGTGATAAAAAGATTTAGTTAATAAATTTATAGAGTTTCTCTCATAAGACTATAAATATAAAATTACCGATAGTTTTATTATTTTCAGTCGTCGTCATATCTATATCAAAACTGTCTATTCTATTTAATTTTTCAATTTGATTTGTTTTTAATTACATTTAATGGTAGAAAATTTATCCTACTAATAAGAAGGCTTACGGGAGATAATCTCTTATTTTATTTGTTAAAAAAAAACTTCTCATCTTTTTAAATTAATTACTTAACCATATATTAATTTGGCATCAAATTTTCGATTTAGAATTTCGGCGTGGTTGACAAAGACATCCATAATTTTTGGCGAAGTTTCTGCTAACCACATCTTCTAGAACCTACCTAGTCTCCTAATTCATTCTTATTATTATTATTTTTTTCCTAAAAGAAACAAGAAAAGAAGAAAGAAATTTTGTTCTTATCAGCAATGCCAAGTGCCAACTATACACTGACTCATGCTCGCGTGTTTTGTTTCTCAACGGAAGTGTATAATCCATCCAACAAATACAATAATGGTCACTTCCCTAAGATAAAATAAATCCCAAAAATAATCCTCAAACTTTACCAAACCCATTCAACTTTATCAAATCTCATTTTTATCTGTAACCAATACAGGTTCAAAAACTAATCATTTTGTTACTTCTGTATAGAGCTGCGAGTTTAAGTCGGGCTAAATAAGTCCGCCCAAGGCCCGTGACTGTTAGTCTTAGTCCGGGTCCGGTTCAATTTTAAATTTTTTAGGCTTAGAGTCAGATTAGGCCGATCCTCTCTCCTGCCCAGCCCAAACATTATATTTTTAAGGGTAATCTTGACAAATACCTTTTAAAAGTACATAAGTCAATATTTTTAAACGTTACCCTTGATTCATAATATTTTTAGTCAAATAATTACACTAACAAAAGGATATTTATCAAGAGTAAGGGATAAAAGTCCAAACTCATATACTCTCATGGGTAAATTCTCAATTTTTCGTATTTTTTTAAAGATTTTTTTTTTTAAAACACCTTATAAAATTATAGAGAAGTGAGCGTGGGAGCTTTAGGGCTTGTTCTTTTGATATTTTTGAGTTAGGTAACTTGAGTGTAGATTTTGAGTTGAGTTTGAGTTATAACTTGAGTTGAAGTTGTAACTTGAATTTGTGTTTGGTTGTGTACATTTGAGTTATGGTTTGAGATAAGAATCTTTTTTGAGTTTGTGTTTGAGTAAGTCAAAACTTGAATTTTTTTTTAGATAGTATTTTAATAAAAACTCAATGCTAATGAAAAATTTTAATAGGGTATATGGGTCTAGTTTTATTCGTTTTTTCGTTGTCAACGCATAGAAAAAAAATCATCTCAATCAGAATTAAAACGAAAAAGTTATAACATTTTTAAGAATAGAAAAAATATTGTTCATTAACTTGAGTTCGAGTTTCTGAACTCGAGTTGAAGAGGAAACTTGAATTCGAGTTTTAGTTCCAAACTCGAATTCAAACTTGAGTTCAAACTCGAGTTCAAACTTAAAAGAACATGAACTTGAATAAAGTTGTAACTCGAGTTACATTTTTTTGAGTTTTTCACTCAAAAACTACCTAAACGAATAGGCCCTTAGTGTGTTGGAGAAGTGTTGGTTTTCGAAACGTTTTCGTGTGTGCAAGCGAAGTAGTGCGGATCATATATAACAAAAATTTTCATAAAACTTTTGAAAACTGTATAGATTATATTAATTTATACAATACCTAGCGGATGATTAGATGGATAACTTGATATCTTTGACCACGAACAATCCAAGCCCCAAGCTTTCTAAGAAAACCCGAATTCCTCGTCTAGTCATTAAAATCTGCAAGACCTAGAGTTTGGGCTCTTAATAAAGAACTATCGGATTAGATCAATTGTTAATTTGTGTCTCTTTACTATCAACACATGTATGTGAAGAAATTGAGAATTTGAAGAACTTTTCTTCTTTTTTTCTCTCTCTAAAATTTTGCTACCTTAGGAATTTTAAGAGCAAAAGATTCTCTACTCTAATTTTTTATTGTCTCCTATTTATAAAACACTAGGAGAACTCATTTGATTTAACTTAAGACAAAACAATAGAAAAACTGGTTATTACTATATTTTAATAATATAGTTTCACATTTAATTTTGGAAATAAAATTCTCTCATGTCATTCTACTATATGGTTGGCCACACCACAGGGAAACCTTTATGTGGTTTGTCTCCGATTTATAAAACACTAAGAGAACTCATTTACTTTAACTTAAAGACAAAGCAATAGAAAAACTGGCTATTACTATATTTTAATAATACAGTTTCCCATTTTAATAATTAATTAAATTCTTTAATTAATTAGTTGATTTTATTAATTCTAAAAGTTACTACACTAAAAATTTAGAATTGCACTCTTGAAATTATAGACATGATTTACTTCTAAAAACTTGAAGTGTCCATTCGAAATAGTCATTACATATAGATCAATCATCCATAAATAATTCATAATTAGAGCTAAGTAAAATCCATTAACCTCTCTAATTACATATTTATCCCTGAACACTATTGATTCTCTAATGAATTGTATATTCATAAAACACATTCATGAATACGAGCTCATTACTTACTCAAGTACCGAATCAACCCTCAGGGGAATTATTTATCTACTTCTTCAAAGAAAAAAAGTGGATTCCATCTCATATATTAGTATTCCCGGCTATCCATTTCATTATGTTTCAAAGATACAAGGAATGAGATTTAGGATTTCAAAATCCATGCCGAATAAATAAAAAAGCACGAATCCATAATATAGGAGTCTACTAATAACTCATGATTAAGATCATTCCATCTATGACCATTCGTAGAATCAAATTTTATTTTTTATAGTTAACATAAATTATTTGAAAATCAAATTGTGTATGTGTCACAGTTTTACATAATCTTATTATACATAATACACTCATTCAATATCTATCTACATTAATGATGCAGATAACACCATTCTATTCTTAAAGGGAATAACGTGTATTAGTAATGTTTAAATAAAAGATTCCGTAACTTTAATTAAATTCATTACGAGCATTATTTCTATTATTATCCTTAAATACTATCCTCTCATATATAACACTTATATATAATATTTAAGGTCGCATAAATAATCGCATAATTTTCAATGATATTCATAAAGTATTCAATAATACATCCACATAATAATGAATAAACTATATTTTTAATTAAATAATAAATATCATTATTACTCTCATACTTTAAGGACACTATTCCTAGAAAGAAGATGTTGTGTTGTGTCCCAAAAGACGTCTAAATGCCTTGTATGTGTAGTAGGAGAGGCTCCACGAGTTGTTTCCCCATTTCTTGAGTGATTTTGGCTCTAATTCATGATATTCCTTTCATTCTTAGGGATTCATTTCATTTTTAGGCACTGTATGACTTTGCTTAACTGGTTTTGTCCATAATCGACTGGTCAATCATGATTCTTGCCCATTTTGAGTTGATCAGGCATCATTAATGCGTGATTGCTGAAGATATAGTTTCCTAATATGGAAGACAATCAATTTGATCCAATGTGAAGGTATTTTGTGGCCTAAGTCAACCATTAACCTTTTTCCTCATTAATTTTTCTAGCTTGAGCGGCTGATTACCTTCTTTTTTTGGTTGATTATGTTGCTAAATTTCATATAAGGAATGTCTTGAGGATATTCTCTCGTGACTTGATACTTAAGGCTGTCTGTCGGCTCGCAGGTTCGACTAGTGAAGCTGACCAATCGACTAGTTGATTCTACTTGCTCATAAAGTCACGGTGACTTGTTTAGTGACCTTTCAAAGTCTAAATTGCCACGTATATAGTGAAAAATGAGGTACAAAATCTAACCTTAACAAGTCTATTTTTACAAAAACTACTAGAGAATCTCTATATATTATCCCTCAACACATAACAACAAAGGCCAAGAGATATGGCTAATAAAAAAAACCTATTAAAGTTGAGATACACATGTGATGAAGTGAACAGTCACAATAAACTATAATATCATAAAATTATAGTATATGGTTTTCATGGTTTTTGATGAAACAAATAATTATAATTTAAGGCCAAGTTTCCAATCGGTACCGGACTAGAGCGGCACTAAAATTGGCCTACAATGATATTTATTGTTTATGCAATATAATTTACGTGTTTGAAAATTGTTCAATTTCAGAGGTTTTTTATTTCATAGTTGTGGAAAGCCGCAGAAGGTGTCAGGTGGGAAATTTTATCTAATTCGGTCCAAGGACTATAAAAGTAATACAGCTTCTATAAATAATTTTGTAAAACTACATATATTATAGCAAATGTCTTTCAGCAACGACAATGTATAATTTCAGTTCAAACATGTATTAACTAAGTGACCAAATAACATAGTAGTATGTATAATCATTGAATTGTGGTAGTTCATGCCTTTTAAATTCTTTTTGTTGTAGTTGTATGTTCTAATTATACCAAGAACATCAGTAACGAGATGTTATCACAGAGAGTTTCATATAATTTAAAATGAGAGCAATCTTAGAGAAAAAATTTAAAGTCTCATATAAAAATGGTACTCTCTGTTATATTGAATATATTGTTGATACTCTCTGTTTTTAATAATATTAAAACGATACCTTTGAGTTTTAAGAAATATCTTTTAGATATCTTAAGGTCGTTTTTTAAGACATAAAATGTCCTCTATGCTTTTTATTTAATTCATTAGAAAATCTAAATTTTTAAAATTTCATAAAAAAAAATTTAAAACATTTTTGGGATATTTTAGAGAAATTTCAAAACGTAACCCTCAGTTTTAGGTAAATATAACATTTATCCTTGTGTTTTTGATGATCCAAAAAGTATACCTTATGTTTTTAAATTATCTCAAAATTATACCTTGAGTTTTTCAAAAGAAGTAAAATATAACCCTTTAAGTAGTTAAATTATTGAAAATGACGTAAATAACCTTTATGATTAATATCTAAACATCATCTTAAAAATTAATAATTAAGGCCTCGTTCACTTTACGGATTTGAGTTTTCAATTCGAGCTGAGATGTGATATTTTCTGAGAGTTTTTAACTGTAGCATTAAAAGTTAGATATGACATTTTCTGAAAACTTTTAATTGTAGAAATTAGAACTAAAAACTCGAATCGGTGAAATGGATGAGGCCTAAGAAACTAAATCTAAAGAAAAAAGGTTAAATTTTTAATAAAATAAATTCTATGTTTTTGAAAAAAAAATCTAACACTTAACCGATGAAACTGGTCTAGCTTCACATAGGATCTCGCGCCCTCACTCTTGATACACAACTAGTGGACTTAGACTTGTCAAATTAGCCTTGTCCCCACATTTAATACTGTTATGCGGTTATCCAAACATGTTGGATCTATAATTTTCTTTATTTTATTTACTTTTAAAATTTATGTTCTAGAAGTTTTACATAATTAATGTCTAAAATAATATCTAGGGATATAAACATTTTTATATCCCGTGTTTTGAGTTTATTAAAAAATTAAACATTCAATTTTTAATTTTATCAAATATATATTTTTAAATTAGATTTAATACTTAAATTTATACATTTTCACAATCAACTCTCGATTTTAAGTATAAAATACCTAAAGTACCGTTAAATAAAAATGGATAAAGGGAAAGAAAACTTAAAAAAAACTTTAAACGTACGGTCTTAACATTAAAAATATTCAAAATACCATTAAAATGAGGTTTTTTTTTGGTGTTTTTAATTTTTATTTTTTGTAATATTAGAAAGTTTTAGTTTTATTTTCTCTCTTTTTCTTAAGGATAGTTTGGTCATTTTAAAGGTCCAAATAAATTATTGACCGCAATAAGGGATAGATTTGTATATTAAATCTAATTTAAAGGTATACATTTATTGAGATAAAAAACTGAAGGTATAGATTTTGAATAAACTCAAAACACAGGGTATAAAAATGTAAATATCCCTAATATCTAAATAGTACTTATTGAGGTTATTTTTGTTTTTGTAAACATTTTTATCATGTAAATGGTTATTTTTTTACTCTTTAGAAAAACAAAGTGGATAATTTTAGGATAATCAGAAAACCTAAGAGATAACTTTTTGGATTATTAAAAACTCAGTGGTAAATGTTAGATTTAGCTAAAACTTAGGGGTACTTTTTTGATTTTCTCGATATTTTATTGGTTTTTAAAATATTTTTAATACATTTAGAAAAGTAAATACTTGCCTAATTAAATAAAAGGATAGAAACGGCATTTTACGGCAAAAAAATTGACCACAAGGCATCCAAAATATGTTTTCTAAAATGTTATAATATCATTTTAATATTAGATTAATTACAAAAATTTTCACCGAATTATACTATTTATAACAGTTTGCTCTCTAATCTTTAAGACGTAATATCTGTTCCCCATGAATAATAAAAGATTAACAAAAAAACCCATTATTTAGGTTTTTTTAAAAGAAATTGACATTTAATTTATTATTTTGGGGTATTTTGATAGCTTTATTGTTTAAAATTTAGTTTGAATTTAAAATTAATTTAAATTTAAACTTTTAATAATGATACATTCATTATTGAAATGTAAGTTAAAAGTTTTATGGATCTTTTTTTAGTAGAATAAAATAATTTATGATTTTTTTTAATATTTAAATTAGTTTAAATTAAAATTAAAATTTAAAACATAGAATTACGAAACTATACTCAAAATAACAATTTTAATGTCAATTTCAATTAAAAACCTAACATAAAAGCCTTTTTTGTTAGTATTCTATTATTTAAAGAGAGCGTATATTATATTTTAAAGATAAACAAATAAATTGTTACATTAAGTATAATTGAGAGAGAATTTTTATAATTAATCATTTAATATTAATAAAAACAGAATGCACCATCAACACGTTTGATATAACAGATAAAAAATCCCTACAAAGAATTCGACAAACCATAATTAATTAGACAACGACAAAAAAACTCAAAATTCCAAGTCCAACTCCTTGTTACTCATCAAAAAAAAAAAAAAAAGTACAACTCATGTTCTAAAAACCAAGAGCGATTAAAAAACCAAATAGAAATGCCAACGACAAAAGAACAGCCAGCATCATTATCATTATTACAAAATTATGTTGGAGGATTAACTTATTTTCACGGTAAACAATTAACTCCAATTAAAATTCCCAGCCAAAAAAAGTAATAATAATAACTCCAATTAAAATAATATTTACTATGTATTATTAACTAATTATGTGACAAGGCGTAAGGCTATAAAAGACTGCTTCCAATAAACATGGCGTTGTGAAGCGGCTAAGAGAGAAAGACAAGATATACTTCAAGTCCGTTTTTTTCGCTGATTTGAGTTTAGAATTCGAGTTTTATTATAATAAAAGGCTCTTAGAAACAGTCACATTTAATTTTTTTGTTACAATAAAAAGCTCTCATACAATATCAAATCTCAATCCAAATTAAAAACTCAAATTAATGAACTGAACGGGCTCTATGAGATTTTATTTTATTTTTTATATTCTTATTTCAAAATTCCTTTTTTCACCGGCACCTATCTAAAAGTAAAGCCTACAACTCTATAAAGGAGAGAGTATCATAGCATACCCTCATGCAATATTGACCCTTCATTTTACGCTGTTTAAATTAATTATACGTTTAGTTGATAAATTCGTGTTAAATTATTATTTATAATTTGTTATAATATTTTTTTTTATAAAAAATATATATAAATTAAAAATAATTTTAAATTATAATTTTAAATTTATAAACTAAACGTTCAATAAGTATCTCATTGGTCACGCAAAAATACCATTCCTGATTAGAGATTCTTATAATTTAGCACATGTTTCTAGTAGAACACAAATTTTTTTTTTTGGGTAGAATATAATTTAGTAGCTTTTTGCATGTGTGATTTGGACAACAGTATCCCTTATCATTCAGCTTTCATTATTCATTATTATCCGACCACGTGTATGAATCATATGGTGGAACCCATGAAGATCAAAATGGCTTTGGAAGAGTGTATAGGTCCTGTTCACTTCACTAATTCGAGTTGAGATGTAACTTTATGTGAGAGCTTTTTATTATAATAAAAAAGTTAGATGTAATTATTTATGAGAGCTTTTTACTGTAAAAAAATTTAAATTTTAAACTCAAATCAATAAAATAAATGAAACCTACATATACAAATTGATTATTTAATACAATTAAAAATCCATATACTTATATCTTAACTTAAATTAAAAGTTTAAATTAACTGTAAACTTTTACACTGCCTCAAAAACTTTGGGTTTGTTTTATTAGGATATGAGATGTCAATAAAATTAGAGTCTGTTTAATTCATTAATTTAAATTAAAATATAAATTTTTAAGAAGTTTTTATTATAATAAAAAAATTAAATATAATTATTTTTAAAAAAATTTTACCATAACAAAATTTAAATATTAAACTCAAATTTATTAAAATAAACAGGCTTCAGTAGTAATCAAATCCTGCGACGGATTGCACTAGAACACAAGTCTTAAAGTGACGCCTTTAAAAGGGTCTCGGAGGCTAAACTGCCATTTTTGTTGGTGGTTCTTTTGGTCACTAGTGAGTTCTGCTTGCGGAAAGGAAAAAAAAAAAAAAAAAGACCTAAAAAACAAAAAGAGAAAGAAGAAGTTTTTTTGCCGATTCCCAGACTCATTTTCCTCAGTTTCTGCTGGTTTCACTATGAATAGGTTATTAGCTTGTAGAAGTATTGGCGCCAGAGCGCCTCATGCGGCCTTGAGTTTGTTCAGTTCATTCAATCTCTCAAGGTTTGTAATAAACTTTTATTTAATTATTTTGTTTTATTTTTACCTTCTTTTTTTCTTAAGATTGATATTTGATTTTGTGGGTTTTGCTGAAATCTATTCTGGGTGCTGTTCAAAATTTCTTTTTTCTTTGGCATTTCTGGTTATTGGGTTTGTTTCCTTTCTCTGTTTTTGAGTTGTTCCCTTACGGTGATATCACTTGCAATCTGATGTGTGTTTGATGGTTTAGGTTTTAATATGAAAAAAGGAGAAGAGAATTATAAATAGTCTTTTGAAGGGTAGGATGGTTTTGACAATATCTATGTTTAGATACTAATGCTTTTTTTTTTTTAATTGGCTGAATTTGATTATTTTTGTTCGTGTTTATGAAAATAGTCTAATAGATTGGTAGATCACATTGTTTTTGTGGATACTTTTCTACATGGGTATGCGTTTCACTTCTGTTTTGGTGTTCTCAAATAATAATGGTTTTGTTGTTATAGACTTATAGTCCTATATGGTATTTAAATATTATTTCAAAGCCAAATGCGCCAGATATCTGTATTTATTTACAATATGTAATATGTTTTTTTTTAATTTTTTAATATATATATATATATATATTTTCTTTTTTATGGCAGATCAGTTCATTCTTTACCCTTTGCAACTGTAGAAGTCGAGGAGATATCAGGCTCAAAACCAGCTGAAGTGCACAACTTGGGTAGGTTTTAGCAACATATATAACATTCATCATTGGACATGATTCCAATACAGAGAAATGCTAAATGCACTAGCGGGTAGCGCAGGTGCAAGATTTGGACATTGAATTATGTGGGCCGGCTCACGGACCCAAGACCCACATGGCTCACGGACCCAAGACCCACATGGCTCCCATAATAATGGGGGGCCTAGATCCTGCACCTGCGCCACTCGCTACTGTTGTTAGCATCCCTCTTCAAACATTATGCTTTCTCCCAACGGAAACTGGTCCTGCAGAGCTCAATACCCATATAAGGATTTATTCAATTATAATACTTTAGAATAGTTCTTACTTTTCTCTATTTAGTTTCTGCTTTCTTTGACTTTCTTTGTATCCTTTGTGAAATGCAAGTAAAAGATCTCAATTTTTAGTTCAGGGTAAATGGACAACATCTCCATGTTGGAACACACTGGTAGATCCTTTGAATGGGGAACCGTTTATTAAAGTTGCTGAAATCGATGAAAAAGGAACTCAGGTATATCATTTAATGTTGTGTTTGGTGGCATTTAGTGCTTCAAATTTTAACTGAACTTTCCCTTTGTTGGGCATGTGGATATGTTTTGCCAACCAAGCATACGGTTTGTTCATTCCTTTAGGCAGCTTTTGGTGCTTTTACATCATATCCTCTTACGTAGAGCTTGAATGATTCGACGGTGTATCTGCATCTAACTAAATATTTCCGTCTGTTTAACTGCTTTTCAGCCGTTTGTGGAGAGCTTGTCCAAGTGTCCCAAACATGGACTTCATAATCCCTTCAAAGATCCAGAAAGGTTTGTATTTGTTGTTCTTCTACTACTTGTTTGTACTCCGCCAATGTTGTCTTCAATTCACCCATATATACCTTGTTGGAGGGCAATGTGATGAGATACTCGTAGAATTTTTCTTTGATCAAAAGGAACTGCAATATTGTTTAACAGGTACCTTTTGTTTGGCGATATATCTGCTAAGGCAGCTCACTTGCTTTCCCAGCCAAAGGTAACATGTCCAAAACTAAAGGACTATATTCTCTTAACTCCCCTAAGACCGATGCTCATAGGAATAATTTTGTTTTCGGTTCCAGGTTTCTGATTTCTTCACGAGGTTAATACAAAGGGTTTCTCCAAAGAGTTACCAGCAAGCTTATGCGGAAGTTTACGTTACTCGGAAGTTTCTAGAAAATTTCTCTGGTGATCAGGTATAGACATGTTAGTCGACTCGATCCTTTTCTTATTTACTTTAGAAGCTGGGGGGAAACAACATTGTGAAATGGGATTGGTATCTGTTGGATATGGAATTTCTTTAGATGGTGTGGAGATTGGGGCTTCTTGGAAGTTTAGGTACCTTGGGTCTATAGTACAATACGAAGGAGATATAGAAAAGGATATTCAACATAGGATTAAGGCAGGGCTTGTTAAGTGGAAGAATGCTATGGGAGTTTTATGTGACGGCAAGATGCCTATTAAGTTGAAAGGAAAGTTCTATAGGACTGTAATCCGCCCAACTATGTTATATGGTAGTGAATGTTGGGCCATTAAGAGACAACATATATCTAAAATGAGTGTGGCAGAAATGCGTATGTTAAGATGGATGAGTGGCCATACGAGAATGGATCGCATAAGGAATGAGTTATTCGTAGTAAAGTAGGCATAGCACCAATAGAAGATAAGGTGCGTGAATGCCGCTTGAGGTGGTTCGGGCATGTCCAACGTAGACCGCTAGAAGCACCAGTCCGTGCTTGGGAGGACATTCTTATACCTAATACTAGGAGAGGGAGGGGTAGACCAAGAATTACGTGGACCGAAGTCGTTAGGAAAGACATTCTAGATCTAGGCCTTCAGGAAAGTATAATTTCGAACAGAGCCGTGTGGAAAAGTGAAATCCATAGCCGACTCCAATTAAGTTGTGATTAAGGCTTCTTGTTGTTGTTGTTGTTGTTGTACGTGTCCTAGATCTAACTATAGATTAAAAGATTGCCTTAAAATTGATTTGATGTAATTACTTTTGTTTACAATATCTCTGGCTGGTTTACCTTCTCTCAATTTTTATGAACCTTCTATCTTCTGCGGATCTTGCAGGTCCGTTTTCTTGCGAGGTCTTTTGGGGTACCTGGTAATCATCTTGGACAGCAAAGTCATGGATTTCGTTGGCCTTATGGTCCTGTAAGACTTTCGACTCCAAACATACTTTACTGTATAGCAGATATGAAATCCTTGCCTTTATTAGTGATCTTCACTATATAAATCAAGCCTGAAGCAACAATGTATTTATCAGATGTATGCCTCCAACTATTCTGTAACTACTTTTTGAGGAGGCATAGATATTTATTCGTTTCCCGTTTAAACTGTTTTCACAAAGTTTCTTTCATTACATAACTTATGTACTTCATTATACAATTTAATATTGAAAGGATTTTATGTCCAGGTTGCCATCATTACTCCGTTTAATTTTCCACTAGAAATTCCTGTACTTCAGTTGATGGGTGCACTTTATATGGGAAACAAGCCCCTTCTCAAAGTTGATAGCAAGGTATGCCATTCTGTATTCCTACGGATTGCATTGGATGGTCTATGTTATGGTCCTTTGGTATCACCTCGAGTGATTTGAGGAATACCACTTTTAGAGAGCTGGTATTTGAACATACTAATTTCTTTGGAAAGATTTTAGCCTAATTTACACACAAAAGTGATTCAGATAAATAACTGGACTTCATAAGTGTTACCTGGCCTAATTTACACCCTTTTGAGTTCATCAGAGATGTTGGTGGTGAGGGTTTAAAGCACCAATATGTTGGTATAAATTAAACGCATCTAAAGATTAGGAGTAACTGAAATAGTTGGACATGTTTCCCCTTTTTGGTTTTCCTTCGGATTCTCTCTTCTGTGATCCTTTTGCTAAACTTTTGGTTTGATTGTTTCCTAATAGTTTCTTCTTGTTCCGTGTATTACTGACATAATGGAAACTAGGTGAGCATTGTTATGGACCAAATGATGAGGCTGCTTCATTACGCTGGATTACCAGCAGAAGATGTTGACTTCATCAATTCTGATGGGAAGACAATGAACAAGCTGCTATTAGAGGTTTGGTTCATATATATACATACACACACACACACACACACACAAATATATGTTGAATAAGCTATTGAATGCGTGTAATTACCATGATAGATATGCTTACTTTCGATATGATTAACATGGAGCTGTAGTTTTTCCTTTTTCTCCCTGGAGGATGTTATAGCATCCTTCTTCTATGAAAACCTGTGCTTGTTGAAAAGTGGATCCGAAAAGCAATATTAAACACTCTCCAATTTCTTTATGACAAGAATTGCGTCAAAGCTCTTCGCTACAATTTTTTGCTCTTTCAGATTTAGGTGCATACTTGCACATTTAGGTCTTTAATGAGGGTTCATAAAAGATTGCATTTTGCTTGTGCTACGAACAGGCAAATCCGCGGATGACTCTCTTTACTGGAAGCTCAAGAGTGGCGGATAAATTGGCTGTCGATCTAAAGGGTCGCATTAAGTTGGAAGATGCGGGATTTGACTGGAAAATCTTGGGGCCTGATGTTCAAGAGGTTTCTTACAACCAACTACCACAAAAGATGTTGGTGGTGCATTATATATGAAGATTATATTTGTCCTTTTATTAATCCCTATTAGTTTCTCTTTGGCAGGAGGATTACGTCGCATGGGTTTGTGATCAAGATGCATATGCATGCAGTGGTCAGAAGTGCTCTGCACAATCAATTCTGTTTATGCATGAGGTTAGTTTGAGGATTTTGTATATAGTTTTTGGTGGTGTTTTGAATCTGTGTCCAAGACTAGAAGATAATCATCAATATTTCTAACTTTTTATCACATTTCCATGCATGTATAGTTTGAATTCAGGCATTTCAAGTTTACTAAGCAGTCTCCTGTTTACTTCTTTCTTTGCTTTTATTTGCAGAACTGGAACCAAAGTAAGCTGATATCGAAAATGCGAGAACTTGCTGCGAGAAGGAAGCTGGAAGATTTAACCATTGGCCCTGTCCTTACAGTATGCATGCTTTACTTATACTGTTATTTTAATGCGTCTTTTTCAATACCACTCTAGACAGACGCTTCTAGCTACCTGACTTCTTGTAGATTGGATTAATCTCTACCCCAGTTGTCTGGAATGGTTCAAGTGCATCGAGATGTTAGCCATGTTTATCAGGCTTCAATTGAATGGGTTTTTCTGCTCAAAAGCATGTCATGGATACAATTAGAGAAAGTTCAATTGATTGTCTATTATTTGTCTTTATCTTAGCTTGTCAATCATGGTTGGTTATTGAACTGCATATCCCATTTGTATCAAGCGCTATGTGGTCAATCCACAAACTGTTGAAGTATTTATCCGGTTAAGAATTTAATCAACATGGAAATTTATGTCATTAAAGTAGGATTCTATGGTATTTTTGGGTTACTTGGGCAAATTTTTATCACGATTTTCTTATCCTTTTCCTATTTTTATTTTAAATATTATTTCTTACTCTTCTTAGCCAATGATCATACATAAGTTTTCATGCTACTAATATTAATGTGGGAGCAAACCAAAAACATCACATTGACTTTGCTTATTATTTGTGGTTTCAGTTTACAACCGGTGCAATGCTTGAGCACATTAATAAATTGCTCCTGATACCCGGCTCCAAGCTACTCTTTGGTGGTGAACCTTTGGAGAATCATTCCATTCCACCTATATATGGTGCTCTTAAACCGACAGCTGTGTACGTTCCTCTGGAAGAACTCTTGAAGGATGAAAATTATGAACTTGTAACTACAGAAATCTTTGGACCATTCCAGGTAAAAGAACAGAAAACATGTTTTAAAGTTTTTCAAGCTTCAGATTTATCTGCTTTGTGAACGTTCTTAAAACAATCCGACAAACATGTGTATGTGATTGACATTGGTGTATTTGCTTTTAGATTATTACTGATTATAAGAAAGATCAACTTCCACTGGTGTTGGATGCTCTTGAGAAGATGCATGCGCATTTGACGGCTGCAGTTGTTTCAAATGATATTCACTTTCTGCAGGCAAGAATCTCGTAAATTGAACTGATACTTATATGTCTTCTATAAAAATAGTTGCTACGTAACAGTTGAGAGTAGCCCCTTTTTTACATGGACATTGAAACTGAAAAAGCTGTCACCTAGAGTTTTTGGGTGGCTTCATGAACTTCATAACAGTGCTTCTGTTTTCATAATAAGAGAATAATTCACTTCTCTTGAGGATGGATTTTTACTGTCAAATGCAAATTTGCAGGAAGTTATTGGTAAATCAGTGAATGGGACTACATATGCTGGACTAAGAGCTAGAACAACTGGAGCTCCTCAGAATCATTGGTTAGCATAATACGTTTCTTTCGTTTTCCCCCCTTAAAATCCATCAGGAGCTTGTTTAATTGCTTAACTACGTTGAAATAACATGATGTTTTTATGACAGGTTTGGACCGGCCGGTGACCCGAGGGGCGCTGGGATTGGGACCCCGGAAGCAATAAAACTTGTGTGGTCATGTCACCGAGAAATCATCTATGATTTTGGTCCCCTGCCTAAGCAATGGGAAATTCCACCTTCTACTTGAGGACTGAGAATAAAGTCTTGTTGACTTGACTAGAAACTCGGATAGCTTAAAAACCTCTGACGAGAACGAGCATGTTAGCGCTTCTATACATATGAGAAACACACCCTGTAGCCGTTTTCTTGATTTCTAGAATAAAATCAGAGGAATTTTGGTTCTTGAGTTCCAATTATCTCTCTCTTCTCTTGATCGTTTCACGATAATTGTTTCAGCTATTATGTTAAACCAATAACTGGGATAACCATTGTAAATGTCCGAGCTAAAACAAGATAGCCATTTGCCATTTTTAAGCTTTTGGAAAAGACTCTTTTCTAAACAGGTTTAAGCCAACTACTTTTGATGCTAAATTATGATTAATCAAAACGACGATGGATGATGGGGTTTGAAGGTGAGAAGATATGAGAAGCCATATTATATGAAAGCTAATCGAAAGTGTTATTTTTTTGCTGAATAATCGAAAGTGTTATTTGAAAATAAGGATGGACGTTTCCAAATAAGTGCAAAAAAGGTCTATAGGCTTGTTTTTCCAAAAGGGGTGCTGTTCTGTTCCTAGTGCTTTTCGTCCAAGGCAAAAATCCCGGGTTCCAGTATTCAAGGATGGATTCAGTTCAGCTTCACTCACGCCACCACAAAGCCCACTGCTGTATAATTCATGGCAAAAAGAGACAAATTTTAGAATGCACGAATTTAGATTTTTACCTCTTACTCTTAATTAATATAATTTTTAGTCCAATAACTATATTAGTCAATACCACAAAACAATGTAACTGCTCAAAAAGCTCTTATAAGAAGATTTTGAAACTAGCATCAGAGCTTGGATGATAATTTTTTTTTTTTAACTTCACTTTGATATTTTTATTGCTCAAATATCAAATTTTGCCCAATTAAACATCTGAAATATTGTTTCTGATACAAGCAGAGAAGTTGCAACTTTTACTCTTCTTATTCTACTTCCTAAAAGCCTAAGCATTAACAATGTCAAATGAGCCCCACTCGACTTGGCCTCTAAGTGGAAGCTGATATGCTCGCCCACTTGGTTGTCTGCGTAATCGGATCATATGGCCCCTTCATATTTCCTCCAACAAAGACCTCCTCCTGTGGCATACGCGTTGTGTTTAGCATGCAAATTCAAGGCGCCAAACTTGCTAGCATAAGAAAACAAATGGTCTCTCTAAATCACTCTTGAAGAGCCAAAAGCGCACAAAGTTCTGGCATTCCGTTCCTTTCTTAGAAGCCTTCTGTAAGAGCGAAAACCCGTCCCGCTAAAGGAGCAGGCAAGGAGGATACTGCTTGTTGAATTTCCTAATGAACCATTAACCAAAAAGAAAAAAAAGCTCAATGATAGAATTATAACAAACAATTGCGGGAAATGAGATCTTTAAAAGAAAAACAAAAGATGTACCTTAACCGTATAACGAGCTGAAAAGTGAATCAGAAGAATTGCTTTGTTCTGAAACTTTTCTGCCTGATTTATTATCTGGATAAATGGACATCCTCATTAGAAACAAATTTAAAGAATAAGGACCATATATTGATACGAGCCTCGAAATCAAGCAATACATGAAACAAAAACTGTCTAAGAGATTAGCAGCTGACCTCAGCCAGATGAATGTGTCCATACTCTCTAGCATGCTCCACTGCAACTGAGTCGTTGAGGAAGGTGCTCTGCAAATGCGAAGATAACGGATATGAGCGGAGCATGAATGCATGCCGTGTTTTGTGCATGAAGTCATACATGACATGTCAATGAGATATACAAATTGACCTAGGACCCATGTGCACGACTCATGCAAGGGATAAGACGAAAAGTATATTCGACTGCAAAACGCTAAGAGGCGTAATAATGTAAGAGATGCTCTCTCATCTCCCCTAAAGAGGCGTAATAATGTAATAATGTAAGAGATGCTCTCTCATCTCCCCTACACTATCTTAACAAAACTATATTACATCTTTATAAATTCAGCTAAATAGAGATAAAAACTATTCTGTACGGCTCACTTAAAGATTATATTGCTTGGTTCTGTGAGACACCAACAATACATAGCATAAGCCAACAAATAAGATATTAAACCATAGGCAAAAATAAATAAATAAACATTAAAAACCAAACGACCTCCATAACAAGAATCCTTGCCCTCAGAACATCAATGTTACTGTTGTCAACGATGAAGTCGGATGTGGTATCTCCTGTAAAAGCGATTAGTGGTTCTGTCAGCGTGTATGTGATCTGCAAATGAGAAAAGCCAACTTGTTTACCTATATACTGAATGCAGGATCACTTAAAACGAAAGAAATTTATGCAATAAAGGTTACGGAAAAATAAGTGACTGTCGAACAAGACAAATTGTCAAGACAGACCTCCACACCTGATGACTTCAAGCTTTTAATTTCGTTTGCAGAAAGCCCAATATACTCATTTTTAAGCTTCTGTTTCACAGAGAAAACTAAATAACCCTGCCACATATATGCACAGACAGTCAATTCTATTAGAAAACTTGTGATGAGATAAAAAACTTAAAACTCTGTCTTAACGAAATTCCTTAAATAAAACTAGTTTTTGGATACCTGGCTTGGAATGACATGGTATGTCTTGAAAGCTCTTACTTTCAGATCCCTTCTTATATAAAACTCTTCTCCTGCCAACATAAACTTCATTAGAAAGAAACGGTCTACAAAGAGCCTGCATAAAAATAAATTTCGTATGATTTACATTTGTTGATTAGACATTACCAACATCCAGGCCAATTAGATTATGTTTGAGTTCTGACTGATCCATTTTTCTATGCACCTCAAAGAGTTTTTCTACATCTTCTTTTACACATTTTGGTACAAAAATTGTTGGGGGCTTCATGCTGTATAACCCGCGAGTTGCAACATACATCGGTAGTCCTCCCTGCCACACATTTAAAATCATAAGTGATGACAGCTATCTGCAAACCTTGCAAATCGAAATTAAAAGAATACGAGATAACTGTTTTCTTGTTATTATTATTTTCGTTTTTAAATTGGTAAGGGATGATTCTAGTGTATGTATTGCTCCACACTTCAAAAACTTTAGCAATAAGCGTGTGATTTAAAATTCATGAAAAGTTACTAAACCACATGACATGACTTCGATATTAAACACACACACACACACACAAAACTTTTTTCTGTCTCCATCAACAAATCTAAGCTCCCTGATCTTGAAACTTAAATACTTCTCAATTCTTTAATATTTTCAGATATACCCTTCAATAACTACAGATTTTGCTACTACTCAGGACCTAGCATTGGACGCCATTAAACTTCACAAACATGATTTGAGACTTATTCTCCACTTACACTGACGAATAACCAAGTCAAAAAGGCACAATATTACTTACGCATGCAAAAACACTTTAATCAAATTGAATCAAAAATCTCAAACTTGCCAATACAAGTCGCTTGCAATTATTATTCAGACTTAAAAAAAAAAAAAGAATAATAATTTGCATCCACGCACTCTGCATTTTTTTATCATTTGCAAGTTGCACAAAAACTTTTAACATGCAATCAAATTAGTAACGAGTGATTGCAACAAATTCTATTTATAATAAAACTTATGTCAAAAGTTCAAGTATCCATACTGCCAAATACCGAAAAGATTCATTTTTTTCTAATCCTATAAACCATAAAAAAAGAACAAAAAAATATTGCAAACAAAGAGAAACCCAGAAACATGATGAGGAAAATTGAGAAAACCCAAGTGGCAGAAGAAGAAAAATAAGAAGGATGGTTACGATGTGGTCCATGTGGGCGTGGGAGATGAAGAGGAAGTCCTGGGAAATGGCACGTTGTGGGCATCGTCCAATGTCGAACGCCAAGTTGAGTGTCGGTAAGATTATGCATGTCTCGTGCCCTCCGATCGACAATCCCTCTATTGGGTATCCTTCGATGTTCAATCCTCTGTTTTTCTTTGATAATTCTTCTCCTTCTTCTTTCGTGGGATTCTCCGAATTTTTGGTTCTGTTTCTGGACATTTGTGTTGGACTGAAACAATGGCGGAAAAAGAAGACGGGAAGGAAGAGAAAGAACAGTACAGAGACGGTGCAGATGAAACAGAGCTGGAAAGGCTTTAATGGGTAATTTGACTTGTGTCCGGTCTTAGACGACTTGTCGTTCATATGTTTGGTATGCAAGGAAAAAATAATTTCAGAATTTAGAATTCAAATTTTGTTACAGTAGACTTCTTAAAAAAATAATCATATTTAATTTTTTATTATAATAAATTTTTTTATATAAAGTTAAATTTTAATTTAAATTAAAATTTAAATTAGTGAACTAATTGTAAGTCTGAATAATATAATTATTTAATAAAAGAGTTATTAATTAATAATAAAAATAAAGAATAGAAATCTTATTCGCGTATTTTTTAAAGAATATTTATTTCTTCTTAAAAAAATAGTATTATCACTTGCTTTCTTATTCTTGTTATTGTTATTCTCCTTTATTTTTCTAATAATATATTTGGCACTGTCGCTTCTGAAATTAGTTTCTTTATAATTTTTTTTCTTGAGTTAAGAAAATAGAAATTACTTTGAATCTTTACCGGAGATAAAATTTAGAGAATTTAGCACTAATGTATATACTAAATTACTTATAAAAAATAATATTTTAGTGGAGTATGGAATTTATAGTGTCTAACTACAAGAATTTCATGAATAAAAGTACTGAAACTATAACTACATAATTATTCTGTTACAAAACTATAACTAAATTGTTGACTACATTACTTAGCTTTTATTTATTTATTTATTTTTGTGGTAAAACTAGTTTTGGTAAGAAAGCTATTTTTTCCTTGGAAAACACATCTCTTAAAAAAAAAATAGTGCTTTTTATTTGGAATGGGGAGGTTGGGTTTGCACTTTATACCTCAAGTCATATTTGAATCAGGGGTAATAGATTTATAAATAGACTAAAATCTTGCAATCACCACATTGCTCTGTTTATTCTACAAAAAGTACGTTATTTTAGGATTATTTACTATATTATACTCTAATTTAAGCATTAAAAATATATAATATGTAGCTTATAGAAAAGGTAGAAGTTTAATATTATGTAATTGAAATTTAAAGGTACAACTTTAAAAAATTAGGAGATAACAACATATATTCTTTGAGAGATTCTGCTCGTGTTTAGGTCAAATTTTTTTTAATCGTGTAATATGCGTATTATTTAATTTTAATGTGATTTTATATAAATAAAACCGATAAAAAACTTAGCATATCAGAATGAGAATGCCGATGTTCTTTTTAAAACCTAAATTAGATTTAAAAATTAAAATAACAAATAACTGAATTAAAAAAAAAAAACTGACCATTGTCGTTTGAAGTTAAGAGGCGCCGTATAACCATAATGTAATGTTCCCGCTGTGTATATGTCTGTAACGCATACTACCCCGACGACATTCCCTTCTTCATCTTCCTCTTCCGGAATTCAGACGCCATAAATCTTCTCAAAAATCCTTTCTCCGAAATCCTAATTCCCATTTCCTCTGAAGAAACCTTTTCAAATGGACTATCAACAACAACAATGGCGTTCGAGACCTCCGATCCAAGGCCACAACTCCCTCTGCCCCACCTGCTCCTTCCCTCACTTCCCCTTCTGCCCTCCCCACCCTCCCGCCTTCCACTTCGCCGCCGATCACTCCTTTCCTCCTCCTCCGCCGCCGCCGCCGCCGCCCTTCGTTCACCGCCCGATCTTCGGAAACCCTAGGCCGTACGAGCACTTCGCGTACGGAGAAGTCTTCGCGCCGCAATCGCAAGACTACGGTGATGGTAACGGTTTTGCCGGCGACGGCGATAGGAGCTACAAGAGGCCTAGGGTTGATGATTTCGGTTCCGGCTCGGTTTTGTCGGACGACGAGCGGAGATTGAAGCTGATTCGCGAACACGGCGGCGCGCCGAGCGAGAGGAATGGATTCAATTCGGACGCGAATCATGGAAATCTGAGTTTTTTCCGTCAATTGGAGAGTAATCGAGCTGAGAGCTCTGGGAATCAGAATCATTTTTCGTTTGATCCCAACCATCAGCTTCCGCAGCACCATGGAATGCAAAATCCCAATCTTGGAGGCTATTTTCCGCGGCCCGAAAGGACGGGCCCCAATCCTATGCACGCTTCTTCTCGGTTTTACGGTGTGCACCCTCCTCTTCCAGCTTCTCCTCCGCCTCCTCTTCCTATGGACTCGCCATTGCAGCCGAGAAGGTCTCCGTCTTTGTTTCCCGTTCCCGTTAGTTCATCTGCAATTACGTCTTCTCCTTGTCCGCCAATTCCTGAAGGGCAATCCTTGGCTCAGCCGTATTTCCATAGTAAGCCTTTAATGCATACTTCTACTGGCTTTGCAACGCAGGTATATTACAGCTTTCTTGTATGCTTTTCTTTTAGTTTCTTAGTTAGGCAATCAGTAAAACATCTGTTTTGTTGTAGTTTAGTTTTTCTACTGGTGAATTAGTTAAAACCTCATGTTGTATATTGGAAGGAATCGCAGGCCATTTATGGGACGTTGCCAAAACAGTACATGGGAGAGGAACAATCTTTTCCATTGAGAAATTCTTCTTCCGATAAGGCAACAATCGTTGATGCTTCCCAATTATTTAAGCAGCCACACCGAGCTACTCGCCCGGATCATTTCGTGATAATCCTTAGAGGACTTCCCGGTATAAATTTTGTCTGTTCAGAGGGATTCTCCTTTTGAGCAGTATCTTAGCATTGCAATTTATTCTGTGTTTATTTGTTTCTTTTGTATCTACCCATGTTTATCCATCTTTTGCCACCCGTTCTTCGCCATTTATTGTGCAGCTTCCAGCTCTTTGTTAAGTGCAATTTCTTAACCTTAAAAAAGCAAACAAAACTATTATAACTGTTTATATAAGTGCAATCGAGTGTCTATAAAAGCAACAGTTCTTGTCATGTCTGCGTAAAGTTGTTGAATTTGTTGCCTTACTAAAGAATCGGCCAAAATTTTGATTTGCACTATCAGGTAGTGGAAAGAGCTACTTAGCAAAGATGTTGCGCGACACAGAGGTTGAAAGTGGTGGTGCTGCTCCACGAATTCATTCTATGGATGAATATTTCATGATAGAAGTTGAAAAGGTTACTTTTTTGTGTCATTTTTGCTTGGTCTTCACAATATTTCCTGTGGATATTTGTAATTTTTTTTCTCTATTTTTCCCATTATGCCATCCACTTTAGTTTTCATGTTTCGAAGAATTTAATGCTTCAGATATTTAAATAGTTGTACCCTATAATCCTTAAGGTCGAGGAAGGTGATTTTACAAAATCTTCGGGTTCTGTCAGAGGCAAGAAGCGAGTCATAAAGAAAGTGATGGAGTATTGCTATGAACCGGAAATGGAGGAGGTAATGCAAGTCCAAAAAAAAAAAAAAAAGAAAAAGAAAAGAATACAGCACATTAGTACTTACTACTGATAGCTTAGTTATGGATTCATTAATATTTATTTTAGGTCCGATGATTTTTTTGGCTTAGTTATTATTATTGTTATTTAATATTTGTCTTGTGTTATCTAATATTGTGTATGTTCAGGAGGTGCTTCATTCTGACAGAATTTCCACGCTCTTTTTTGTCTTCCTTGCAGGCCTATAGGGCAAGCATGTTGAAAGCATTTAAAAAGACCGTTGAGGAGGGAGCTTTCACCTTCATAATTGGTATGAGTTTTCTATTTAGATTTTTCCATGATGGTTGGAAGCTTCTTGAAACTTTTGGCTCTAATTGAGTTTTCTTTTATTATTTTTTCTTTGCATTGAATCTGATTGTAAATTGGCCACCCTTGAGGTTTTTCTAGATGCACTTGCCTGCTTTCTGTTTGTTTCGAATTTGGTATTCAAAGTTCTTGAAATGCTATCTTTTGACCTAATGATGTTGAGTGACTCTGTAACTTCTACATCTGATGTTCGGTATCTCACATTTTATGCTAGTGCTAGATTCTAACTCCAATTTGGAGATGTTTTTCTCTTTAGAAAGATGATTCATAGTAAACCCTTGAGGTGTCGCTTATTTTGGGAACTGAAAAGATTTTTTAATTTGTTGTTTGTTCAAGAAATTTTTATAATAAAAGCATAACACAAGATAGGGTGGTTAAAGGCTATTGTAGTTATGATGGCTTGCTAGGGTTCAGCAAGCAAAAAGAGATCTAGTTTAGCTATAAATAAAGTCGTGCACTGCCCAAGCACTGCTTTCATTTTCTCTAACCACAGAATGCAGTTTTGTTCTTCGGCTATTGATCCTTTTCTTGCTGGTATTTGTGCTTCGTCTTAGTGGATGATCGCAATCTGCGGGTTGCCGATTTTGCTCAGTTTTGGGCAATCGCAAAGGTATAACATCAATTCTCTCTTCCTTCCAACCTCTGCTATGCGTTCTGCGTGCCGACTAACTAGTTTTGAATTCACTTCACTTTTATTTAAAATGTTTGACACATATTTTCATGATTGTGCGGTTTATTAATTCTTCTCGAGTGCTTGTAGAGAAAATACCCATTTTTTATCTGGTAAATTAGCAATATTGTATTTCCGTCGAGCCAAACATAATTGGTTGGACAAAATTAATATGTTCATTTTACATTATCAACACTGCCTAAAGTTTCTAATGTGGACCAATAGGGCTCATAGAAGAGCGAGCAAAGTAGTGTATGATTTAAATTCAATTAACCTGTGAGACAAAAATAGTGCTTCACTTTGGCTCTTTTAGCTGTCTTGCATTGTCTCATGTTGTTTCTAAATGTTAGAATTTGTGTGTGTTGTTTGGGGGGGAGAGGTTGTTGTTTGGGGTTCTGTAAAGATCTTCCCGTATCTAGGGCTCGTTTGGTTCATGCGTTTAAACTAGTGATTCTTGATTTTGGCATTTGTAATTCAAATTTTTTGTGAGAGAAAAACGCTGTAGCAGACTCAAAACCATGGGTTTAAACGCATAAAACAAACGAGCTCCTAGTGTCTAGTTGTGCATCAACTTGTTATCCTTTATAAATTAAGGGAGATAATGCAGTAATATGTACATGTATCTAAATGTCTCATCAAAATAATTGTATGCAGATGACAGTTCATAAGCGAAGACATTGTATATGGTCACTGGTTTAAACTTTTGTGGGTTTTATTTTTATTATTATTTATTTTTTGTTCCACGATACTAGTGTCTAGTTGTTTTAGCATTTTCCCAAGTTGTTGTCATTGTTTTATTTTTATTTTTATTTTTATTTTTTTTATAATAATTGATAACCTGTCAAAATGGAAAAGGCCAGAATTTTTGGAAAAATGAATGCATTTTTCTATTTGTTTTTAATTTTTGCTTGATCCTAGCACCTAATATATATATATATATATATGTATGTATATATGCTATCTGTTCCATATGGTTTTTGGTCCTGAGATTGACAGAGGAAGTTAGATATCTGTGGCTTCTGTCATTTAAGGAAACTTATATTTCAAACGCCACTTACAATATAATAGAAATGTTTCTTACCTTTTTCTATACTGACTGCTATATGGCCGTTGATATTTCTTCGAAGATGGTGTTATAGTTCTTTGGTTATCAGTATTCAAAAGAATTGTCAAATCTAGTTTCACTATCTCTATTGCTTCATTTATTTTTACTTTTTTTTTTCTTTTCAGAGTTCAGGATATGAAGTTTATATATTAGAAGCTTCTTATAAGGATCCTGCGGTGAGTCCATCCTAGATTATTGAATTGTGAACTGTGTTGTATCAACATCTTTTAGTGGCCTACTTGTTGCTAACTCAATTCAGATATATATATATATATATCCTTCCACATTGAGGATTTATCTTGATATTTTTAAAATTTCAGGGCTGTGCAGCGAGAAATGTGCATGGTTTTACCCTAGATGATATACAAAAGATGGCCGGAGAATGGGAAGAAGCTCCATCTTTCCACTTGCGTGTGGATGTAAAGGTGTGTTAAGTTTAAGTTTTTGGTTAGGATATTGGGTAATGCAGTAAATATTCATAAAGGAGTTGTTTGCAATGATAAAAGAACTTTGACTACCTTTTCTTTTGGCATGTATTTTCTTGTGTGCTTGGGTTTTAATGCTTTATTTTGTTGCAGTCACTGTTTAGTGGAGACGACTTGAAAAAAAGTGGAATTCAAGAGGTAAATAATTCACACTTGACACTAGTCGCCTTCCTCTTTATTAGCGAATGTCAATTTGGTTATGCTTGAATCCCTTAAGCTTGGTCATGCTCTACTATTGTTGAGGGCTGATAGGGAAATAATGTATGTATGCAATTTTATTATTTCTAGCTCTTAATCGTTGAAATAGTTATCATCTATTTATAGTTTAATTGAGTGCGTTCTGACTTAGCAAAATGAAATAAATAAAGTAATAACTTAAAAGTCTACATATAGCTTCTGTACCCTAGTCACTTCTTGCCTGAAGTTATCCTTCAATTGCCTACAAGATGTAGGAATTCGAATTTGTCTTCTTGTGGTCTTATTGATGACGTATTGATTTTGCGGTTCAAATCTACCAGGTGGACATGGCCATGGAGGATGAAGATGCTGTTGAACTTCCATCTGGATTGCTAGGACAAATTACTGATAAAACAATAGCACCTGCTGTTGGGGATGATACATCACTTGGTATGCTTGGGTTTTTATTTTCATACTAATACGTACTTGCATTTCTTGAGGTTTACATTGATTATTTGTTCATGTAAGCAGGATGTGATGAATACTACAGTTTGACTTCTCTTTCCATTTTGTTTCCTTTAATTGATATTTAAGTGTCTCGTATGACCTTTCTTCAGTGTACTTACCATATTTCAATTCAAAGGACATTGCATTTTTGGTGAAAATCTGCATCTTATAACTCCCTTTTTTCTTTCTGATATGTTTTTACTATTTGGAAATAGCAATAATAAAGACACATTCTGAATTTATAGGTTGTGACGTGTTTTGTTTCTGAATGTATAAGTTTCAGATTGTTTCACGGCTCCGCCATGGATTATATAGTTTTAATCTTTTATGGGAAATTTTCACTCATAGACATAAATCATTTGGGTATTTGTCTATGCTAAGTGATTCCCTGATCTATATCCTTTGAGAAACTGATTTGATTCCGAGGTTTTGTCTCCCACAATTTGTGCGTTAGATTCTTCAGAGGATGAGAACAGCTGGAATGCTGAAGAAGAGAATGAAACAGAAGTGAAAGAACTAGGTAGGAGTAAATGGTCAAATGAATTAGATGAAGATGACACAGAACAAACTGAACCCATAAAGGGTAATTTAAATGCCTTATCTGGGCTAATTCAAGCCTATGGTAAGGAAGCAAAATCTGTTCGATGGGGTGACCAGGTATGTATGATACTTATCCTGTTGTTTGATCATTGGTGATAGAGGTTCTTAGGCCAAAGCGTTTTCCTGTCTTATACTCACATATTGGGATGCACTCTGTTACGTTTACAAGGATTCTTAGTTATGAGTGATTAACAGAATACTTAAGGGTGAGATAATTTATATGCTACTTAAAGAGACTTTGATACGGTTTACATCGGCAACAATTAGTAGTTACATAAATTCAGTTTAATCACATTTTTTTTAAATATATATATATATATGTTAGCGTTGAAAAAAACGTATATTGTTCAGGATTGTTGTTTTGAATTGGCTCTCTCTCTCTCTCTCTCTCGCACATAAAAGTGGATTGTAAAAACTCTCTTACACATGCAAGTACATATTTCAAAATATGTTTTGTGCTTAAATCTGTTAACTGTGCTCTTCTTTCTTTCAGGGTGGTGTCAATACTGGGTTTTCAATAAGTGCTGCCAAGAAGGCAAAGACCTTGTCCTTGGTGATTGGACCGGGAGCTGGATACAATTTGGTTAGTAAACTGCCTACTGGACAGAATTGTACCGCTTGGGGGACAATTATATTTTTTTTTTAAAGTAAATAATGATTTCATCCGAACTTTTACCCCCAATTTCTAGTGATTATTTCACATACTTTTGTAAAAGTATTCCAACATGGCATATTATTAAAAAGTATCTTGTCTAGCTCTTTGAAAAAAGTAAAATTGTTTAGCAAAATAGTGATACATGACACACGGAGGTTTAAATTATGGTTCTCAGCTCTAGCTTTTTAACTATAGGAGATCTGTTCCACTATCGGTCTGTGTACATCGTCCTTTACGTGAGCGGCTAATTTCATAATCATGTTATACTTTTCTTCCTATTCATGCAGAAATCCAATCCATTACCTAAAGAAGACCGATTCACGCCAAGAAATAGTGATGAGGAGTTAAAGAAGCACAGTGTGTTTCAAGAGCAACTTCGTGCGGAGTGCGAATCTTTCAAAGCTGCTTTTTCCAGAAGGCAACTGAGGATTGGACTTGATTGCGATGAATAAAAGTTTTTTGGAAGTGCCAAGTTTTTTCCTTCAAGTTGATTATTCTCGTCATTTTTTTTGTACGGGTTAATATGGCTGTTTGTTGATGTGGATTAACCCTTCAGTTCCTTGGGTGTATGAGCAGAATGATAGTTCAATTTGTGGAAAATAAATTAGGTTTTCCGCTCTTTCATCTTCTGGTGCATGGAAACTTTCATCCGCGAGTTAAACTTGTGTTGGTTAAACGCGTGTTTGGATAGATGGAAATCATGAAAGGGCGTTTAGAAAACAAAAATAGCTTTTGCCTTCTGGTTTCTAAGGTCGAAAAGATGATACCAACAAGGACTCAGATGTGTTCTTCTGTCTTTTTCTTTCCGAAAAAGAGATAAAAGAACTTCTTATGTAAAAGATATAGGTTCAAGGGTTGCCATAATTTTCGTTTCATGCATAAAAAACAGTTAAATACTAGTTTCTGCAGGTTTGAACTCTACATCTCAATTGAAGTCAGGTGTTAATTTGGTACTAGACTATGCCCATAACCGCAGTTAAATACTAGCTTCTAATTCTTAGCTGCTTTGGAAATACTAAGGCCTCATTCACTTCGCGAATTCGAGTTTTCAATTTGAGCTGATATGTGACATTTTCTGAGAGTTTTTCACTATAGCAGAAAAAGTTAGATGTGACATTTTCTGAGAGTTTTTTACTGTAGAAATCTAAAATTGAAAACTCGAATCGGTGAAATGAACGATGCATAATTGTAGACGCTAAACTGTGAATGGAATGAAATACTGCAGTATTACAAGAATGTAAATAAAAGTGCTGGTATTTGGCAATTTTATTGGCAATTTGAGCACTTTAATTGATGCAACGCCTCTCGCTAAGCTCCCTAGAGAATATTAATCCAAGTGCTTAAGGTTTTATTGCTATCAATTTTGAGAGCTAGTGAGGGATGTAGCCATTTCATGCTATTATCGATTAAAAAATTTCTTTGATCACAATCATAGGCCGTTTATGTATTAAGAAATTTCTTAAAGCATTATTGCTCAAACTCTAAACTAAGGTGTAGGAAGCGACACCTCCATTTTCCTGCCATTAAATCACCGGACGTGCAGTCTACAAATTCAGAAATCAGTATTGTTCAAAGCCTCCTCCTTGATGAAGTGAAAATAGTAAAAAAAGAAAGGAAAAGCAAATAATTATCGTATATCTTGGCTGGTAGACACATTGGAAATTGTTATTGGGTGTTGCATACCAACCATATCTCTTCAATTGTGTGTGTACACACACACACACACACATTACATACATGTGTATATATATTACTACACGCCAACTGAAAAACTGTAGCTCTCTCGCAGCCATTCTCTCAATTCTCTCCACATAAGCATCCACAGTCAACATACATATTTACGAACATAAAACAAGAACCCCTCTCTCTCTCTCTCTCTCTCCCCTCATATTCATGGCTAATATTGCCGCGGCAACAAAGCAATGCCTTGGTCGTTTAATGGACTCAGAATCATTCAAATGTAGCATATCTTCTTCTACTAATAACTTACCCACAAGTCTCTGCTACTCCAACAATATTCGCTTTCCTCCTAACCAAGTAAGCCACTTTCCCTTTCATGGTGATCACTAATAATATAATAGTATTAATTTATGACATGAAATTATATGTTGTATCATGTGTTGGACAACATGTGACAGAGGAATCAGTTGCGTGTAATGTCCATGAATGGTTGCAAAGGAGACCCCCACTTTTTACAGAATTTGCCGTTAGGCACCATTGAAACGCGTACTTTCCCAGTAGTCCCTTCTCATGCACTGGCTTTGGAGAGGCTTTGCTCCACCATTTCGGAATTGAAGTCCGACCCACCTCCTAATTTCACCTCTGGAATTTTACGTCTCCAGGTAAAAATATTATTAAAAACAAGGGTTCATTAATTAATGGAAATTATACATGAGCTCATGTTTGTTCTTGTTTTCTTTCCTTTCTCCCTTATCCGGATGATGGCTTATCGAGAGCAAAAAAAGAACACTTTTTTAACCAATGCAATCACGCCACGTGGTTGGTTGGCATAGAAGAACGTGAAATCCAATACCTAGTGCCATGCTATTCCTTATCTTGCATTCGATTTTCGCTTAGCTAGCACGAACATTACTAGTGGTGTTAAAGGCTTGGCAAAATTTTGATTTAAAAACTCGTGTAATACCATTCCAAAGTGAACTCGAAGGTGAGAAAAAGGAAAGAAAAAAACCATTTTTTGTTTGGGGGGGGAATAGAAGAACCCCAAGTTAGTTATAAGGTATTTTGGCCAAAAAAAGAAAAAAAAAAAAAAAAAGAGTTTAAGGCATTCGAAAATTGAATATTGTTCCATTACAAAAGAAAAGAAAAGAAAAGTGAATATAGTGAAAACATGGGATTTGTTTTAAAGAGTTGGTTAGTTATAAGGAATGAAAATTGTTTATTATGAGCTTGGTTACACATTTTTTTTTTCCCTTCATTTACCCCCTTAAACTGGTGAGTTACGTTTTAAATTAATTCAATTCAATATCTATTCTTTATTTTCTAAAAATAAAAAGGAGGGTGAAAAAAATTACACAACATTTTTTTTAATGGAAAGAGAGGCATTTTTTATGTCAGTTTTAGTTATTTTCCTCAATTGGGTGTTAAAAAAAGTTAAATAAGGGTGTGATGCTTAGAGAAAATAACATTTGATAGAACACATGCATGCATGTAAAACAACATATTATACTAACTGAATATCATCCATTTTTTTCTCTTTTTAACCCAATTGATTAAAATTGAAACAAACTAATTAATCAAAGTTAAGTTTTAGATGTTTTAAAAGTTAAAGAGAAAAGTGAGATAGATTAAAAGAAAAAAAAAAAAAAAAAAGAGCAACTAAAGGGAGATGTAGATAATGATTGGTAAAAAAAAAAAAAAGAGAGAGTGAGATGGACGATAGAATTCAAAGATCAATTCAAAAAAGAAAAGAAAGAGAAAAAGAAAAAGAAAAGGCAAAGGTGGGAGTATTGAGACATTGGTGACATAGTTATAGTGTTGTGGAATGAAGGTTCCAATTCAGCAGCAAATTGATGCAATTGATTGGCTCCATGCCCAAGACCAGCTTCTTCCACGCTGTTACTTCTCTGGTCGAAGCCAAACCCAAAATTCCAATATCTTTCTTGATATCACCAATGGGAATGGGAATGGGAATCGCAATGTCATTGGGAATGGGAATGGGAGTGGCCACAACCAGTGGGCGTATCGTAATCTGGTCAGTGTTGCTGGTGTGGGCTCCGCAGTCTTTTTCAGGCAGCTCCATCCATTTTCATACAGCCACTGGAAGTCCATTAAGAGGTAGGTACATTATAGTTAGTTCTTTGCTTATTTATTTGTTTATTTATTTATTTTTACTTTATTAGTGCATAAAGAAATGGATTAATTACTTTCATTTTTTACTTTGGAATGATTATACTTTACGTCCTAAATGTCAGTATCATCAGAGTACTTAGATCACGTTCTTTAAAAAAACTCGAAAGTACCATTTTAATATTATTAAAAATACAGAATACTAATAGAATGTTTCGCTATTAATGAGTACCAAAATGATTTTATTCATTTTTCTTAACTCTGGCAGTCACTCTCAAGTGCTTGGTTCATTCATTATGTAATCCGTTAGTTTATTCCAGGCCACTTAACTAATCACAAAGTATGAACAAAATGCAAAACGTTGTGATTTTACCCCATTTAACTTTTATTAATCTGGACCAAGACTAAATCAAAATTTGTTCATCTCTGTGATTGAAGGTTCCTCTCTAGAGAATGCCCTCTAATTCGTGCTTACGGGGTCATCCGTTTCGATGCAAGATCCAACATGTCGCCCGAATGGGAGGCTTTTGGTTCATTTTACTTTATGGTTCCTCAGGTAGAAACATTATTTTCTTTGATGCACTGGTTTTAACCATTAGTCATTTTTTCTTGTTAGTATTTATCGAATTGCAAGATCAGATATTGAATGACAGGTTGAGTTTGATGAGTTTGAACATAATTCGATGCTTGCTGCAACCATTGCGTGGGATGATGCCCTTTCATGGCCATGGCAAAAGGCAATCAATGAACTTCAAGCTACACTTTGCCAGGTTAAGATGTTTGGCTGAGTTGACTTTGTGTCTTTTGTTCCTGTTCGAGTGTGTTTTTCCTCGTACCGTTACCTCATGTAGATTCTTGAAGACGCAGGTCTCTTCGAAGGTTGTAAAATTACGTAAAGAAGCTCCCAGGACATTCATATTGAGCAACAATAACATCCCAAGCAAGAAATATTGGGATCTTGCTGTTAACCGGGCTTTACAGAAAATAAGCAGAAGTGACTCAGCACTTACTAAGGTTATTACTATCCATGCACTAAGTTTGGTTTTGCTCGACAATTTCTTGTAGCAACTTTGTGCTCATTTACTGGATTATAATTCTCAGATACACCAATAATACTAGACTGCACATTTTTCTTTGAGCAAATAACAATAACCTCCTCTGTGTTTTCTCAAATACACTGTGTTCCACTCAATATTTTCAGAAATGCTATACTTATCTCCTATGTTACAAATGTCATGTTAGAGGGGAGGTTTTTAACACGATTTCTGGGGAAGCATTTTAATATGATTTTGTGGAAATATTTGTATAGTTGTAAAATAGTTGTATTTCTATATTGTATAGCTAGCACATTTAAAGCTATTTAGGTGTCTTTTACTGTTTAAGTTGTAGGCTTGTAATCTTCTATAGATCAATAAAATAGAGAAAATTCTCATGGTATCAGAGCATGAGGTCCTGAGTTCATATCCCTACAATTGCTTATCCCCTTTAAGTTATCATCACGTATTGAGTCTTTAATATGTTTCGGGCTTATTAATTTTATCCACATGTTGAGTTTTCCAATCAATATTTACTCAAACAATTGCCTCTTATCCAGCCCACACGTGGGGGGAAAGTGTTAAAATATAAAACTATTGTTGGATCACGTCTTAACAACTTAAGCTTTTGGGATGTATTGGTAAACTAACAGATTTATAAGAACATAAGGGATAATTTTGACATGATTTGCAAAACATAGGAAATGTATGTAGCATTCCTGAAACCATAGGATTCGATATGATTTCGTTATTAATTCTTTTTATGTTCTGACAAGGAATGGAATTTTCCACTACATTGAGCCTCTTCTCCCTGCCCCACCTTTTATTCTCTCTCTCTCTCTCTCTCTCTCTCTTCTGAGTTTAGTATATTAATCCTGTCTTGGGATCATCTCAGGTTGTGCTGGCACGAAGCAGCAGAGTAGTGACTGCTACTGATGTTGATCCTATAACATGGCTAGCTTGCTTACAGGTATTCTGATCCTCTCTTCACATGACAACTTGTAAATAACCATATAGTTTCCACTAGAAGTTAAAATTATTGTTACTTTGGCTCAACTTCTGCAGGTTGAAGGCGAAAACGCTTATCAGTTTTGCCTTCAGCCACCTGATGCACCTGCTTTTATTGGAAACACGGTAAGGGTCAATACATATCGCATTAACGACTATAACAGTTTAAGCATTTCTTTCACTTTTCTCTACTACTCAATGTTGTGCATCTTCAAATCATTTTAATTCCATTTATCCTATTTTGCCTAATAAGATGTTTAATTCCATTTATCTTATTTTGCCTAATAAGATGTTTAATTCCATTTCTCCTATTTTGCCTAACAAGATGTTTTAAAGTTCTATTTTGAAGGGGAAAAAAAGAGGTGAATAAGCTTACATTTGTTAAGTTATTTTTACGTGTTTTGACTTTGCGAATAGCCAGAGCAATTGTTTCACAGAAAATGGCTCGACATTGAGAGCGATGCCATGGCTGGAACCTGCGCCAGAGGTGAATCCATGACTGCTGATCTTCAGATAGAACTTGACCTACTTTCCAGGTTTATTTTATTCTTTTATTTTCATTGTTAGTTATGAATACTATACTTCACTGATGTTACAACTTCAATTATTTCTTGACCAGATAAAACAATTTGCATGATGTAATTGTCTTTTTTACTCATTATGCAGTCCCAAATATCATCTCGAGTTTTCCATTGTGCGAGAAAGCATAAAGAAAAAGTTGGAGGTATGTTCACTTGGGCACTCTTGTTTTTGCAAGTTGCCATTGCATTGCAACGGATATTTCATTTGCATTTCTGTTCTGCAGGATGTCTGTAATTTCGTGGTAGTTGACCCCAAGAAAGCAGTAAGAAAACTTCCAAGAATCCAACATTTGTATGCCAAATTGGCTGGCAGGTTAAGAAGTGAAGATGATGAGGTAAAATAGTACAGTTTTGTGTCTCAAATAATTATAAGTTTCCTCACAAGCAAGTAGTAGTTAGATTTCAAATTGGACTATTAAACTGTCGCAAGAAATCCCCCTCCATCCAATTCCATCCAAATATTGGACAAAATTTGACATGTGTTCATATTTGAAGTTTTCCCTTTTTAAAAATCTCCCTGAGCTATATAGCACGTATCTCAAAATTTTCGGCAAGTAAACTGAGAAGGAAGCCATAGTCTAGGGGAATTTTAAAATTAATCCAATAATTTATTTGATGGTAAAATATTTATTGTTACTTTACGGGTGATGTGCAAAGTTCTGTTTCTTTCCAGTTTGAGATTTTGTCTTCTCTTCACCCAACTCCAGCTGTATGTGGATTTCCAACAGATGAGGCACGGCTTTTGATTGCTGAAACAGGTATATACATATATAATTTTACCTTCTTTGTTTTTGTTTTTGTTTTTTTGTTTTAATCTCTTTCTGGCTGTTTCTAGCCTGCAAAATTCTTATACACCTTTTCTGGGTGCTCATTATATCACAAGCCCAAGTAACAATTTTTTTGCTTCTTCCTATCCACATACATAAACTCTTATTTATGCCTGCACACGTGTTGTTCAGAAATATTTGACCGAGGAATGTATGCTGGCCCTGTTGGTTGGTTTGGAGGAGGAGAGAGTGAGTTTGCTGTTGGCATAAGGTCAGCCTTAGTGGAAAAGGTAAAAGTCTTGGTTAATATCTATTATCTATTGAGCACTTTTGTTTGGTTTTGAGTAGGAATATGAGTTACAGTTACATAGCATTTTTCATACACAACTATGTGGTACTTCTCTTTTTTGTGACACAGTGGAGCATTTTAAACCTGTTCAGAAAAAAATTAGATCTCTCTCTTTTTTTTTTTTTTTTTTTTTTTTTTTTTTTTTTCAATCAAGCCCATGATCATTTAATTTGTCTTGCTTAAAGCATATCTATTGTAAATATATATATATATATATATATATATATATTCTCTCCTAATGGTGTCAATCTCTTTCTTCTGACTACTCTGAGTTATAGGGTGTTGGTGCATTGATATATGCTGGGACAGGCATTGTGGAAGGCAGTGAGGCATCTTTAGAGTGGGATGAGTTGGAACTCAAAGTTTCTCAGGTGAGTGGGGATAAAAAGATATAGGTAAATTTAAATTTATCATTTATGCAATTAATATTTTGATTGGATCTTTCATATTCTACTAGAATATTTTTTTCTTGCAGGATACTTTTCGTATTCTACTGTAATACGTTTCATACTCTACTAGAATATTTTTTACTGGCATAAAAAATAGCATAAATAATAGGATGATGAAAAACAATGGTTATTCTTATAATTTCTCAAAATTATATGTATATATATTATCTTGCTTATTATGTATTTGTTCTTCATATTCAAAGTGCCTACTAGTGCCAACTCCTCCAAGTATTGTGAGAAGAGTCGCTAGAAGCCACTTTATGATTTTTCATCTGTGTTGCAGTACACTAAGTTGCTTAAACTTGAAGTTCCTCCGAGAAAAAAGGTTAAGGACTACTAGTTGAGAATGTAAGTAGTCCTTTTTTTTTTTTTGAATCTATCGTTTAATTGTTATATTGTTTCTTCCCGGACAACTAGAACCTGTGAAAGAAAAGATTAGTGTGCATTTCTTTGACAGCCCCGGATTATTCGGTTGTGAAGGGCTGTTTAGAAACTGTCAAGGTTTCTTTGTGTAGGGAGCTTTTGCTGCTCTATTAGGCTGTTGTTCTGTCCGTCATTCAGGATTAAACCCATCTCTATGATGTCAGATTTGGTCTTCAAGAAACTAGTTTTCCTTTCGGATTGAATAAGACTCGTCTTTTGCTGTTGTACATTTCAATAACAAAGAAGACGTCCCTTGGCGTTAAGGAATCTACATCATGCTCTCTCAAGATGTTTATCAAACAGAGTTTCTAGATATCAATGTGATCAATGAGTTAGAAAGTGTCCGACACTTGTACTTTACAAGTTTCAGAATTACAAATTAAACTATATTCTATTCGCGTTCCTTATGCAAATAACTGAAATACACAAGAAATCTCTTGTTGTATAGTTCAAGAGTTGCCTTTTCATCACTCTTTGGCATGTTTTCTCCCCTTAACTTTTCATGGTTGCCAAGTTGCCCTTTAAACTTCTAATTTTTGCATATTTCCCTTGAATTTAACGAAGTATTGTAGAGTACACCGTAATCAATGAATGCTGTTAAAATTTAGACGGAAACACCCTCAAACACGTACATGAGCTTGTTTGAAAGAAGAGACTGAAATTTCGGATGACGGTCAGAGCTTGTCATGTCACGCACGGTAGATGAGCTCGTTTGAAAGAAGAGAGTGAAATTTCGGATGACGGTTAGAGCTTGTCATGTCACGTGCATGAGGGCATTTCCTTCTAAATTTTAACGTTATACATCAGTTTGGGGCACTCTCCAACATTTATCACATGAAGAAGGTAATTTGCAACAACTAACAGTTTAAGGGGCAACTTGCCAGTTCAGTCAATATTGAGGGAACAAAAGCATCAAAGTCCCCTTCCCCCTCTCTCTCTTCATGGCCTCTTACTTTCATTTTCTACTTTGAAAAACACTTTTACTGTTCAAAATTCTCTCAACAGCAGTAGCACAATCAGATTCATCCGGTCCTGCCCTTTCATCGACATGACAAACATAATTTTCTGTTATGGAAATACAAACATTTGTTTGTGCTTCTATCCGGGCTTTTCCTTCTGTTCCGTTCAAATTAATCCAATAAACATGTCTTCTTTTAAGTGTATCACTGTTCAGATGATAAAGATCAGCGTAATAAAAAAAAAAAAGAAGAAAAATGTAGTCTTATATTTGATGAGCTTCAGAACTTAACAGTTGCTATGATATTATCTCTATTATTTGATGCCGTGTTTCATTTTTTTCCCCTTCTGTTGTTCTTTTCTTTTCCTATTTGATTTCTGAAGGTTGATGTGTTTAGGAAAACTTCTTCAATGCAGATTCATAATCCTCTTACACGATAAGGACAGAAATATTTTGGATGACAAACTCTCCGGTTATACCCTTCATACGTCAGTTTTGAATTGGTGGCATTAAACGCCTCATACTATATAGCCTCTCTCATTGCTGAAGGTGCTCTTAGCTTATTAAATTATGGTTTCCTTTATTTCCCTTTTTGTTACCATTAGTTTGTCTTTTATTTCTAAGTGTTTCTCTTCCCTGTTTAGTTCTAGATAACTTTATGAAAAATTTCCTCTTTCTGGAGGTTTAACAAAGAAAAAAGAATATCCTGTTCATGCTTTGTGACGGAATCATAAGGTGGAAATAGTTTCAAACCTTTGATTGTTACACGAGTCACTTCTTATACAACTCGATAACAATAATTAAACAGCATTGTGCAGTTTAGTCATCAATGATTCTCAATGTGAGTGAACAAACTGCCATTGTCTTTTTTATGGCTGGTTTTGTTCATCCATTCCTCACATTATTCCATATGTATTTTCATTTTGTTCATGGAAGTAATTTACTACATGAAACATTTGACTAGGAATAACTAGTTAATAGGTTAAGAGATGTAATCCAGCCAGCTGTTGACTTCTTTTTCTGAACTTTTTTCACTTAAATATTGGTATATCATGGTCCCATGGATAACTGGCTCAGAAAACAAATTTGCTCCCTTTATCATCGGTTTCACTCGAAGAGCTCGGAAATTTTGGTCTTCTTTTTATCAAATAGTTCTATTTATTTGTACCTAGAGAATTCTTTGAGAGGGTTGTTTTGCATGAGAAATATATATTCTTTTAGAATAGGTTCACTAACTTAACAAGCCCCTTTCAAGTTATCTGTTAACTAGAAAGGTTTTTACAAAGTAAACATCAGCTAATACTATCAGAACTATGTTACTACCTTTGTGTGTGTGTGTGTGTGTGTGAAAGTCACTTGTTTTCTCTCATCCCAATATTGTTCCTCTTCTTTAACGTGGAGAAAATGGATATACCAATAATTGCAAGAGTGAATACTATTGTTTCTAGTAGTTTGAGCTCGATGGATCTATGTACGGCATTGTTGGATTACACAAATGCTAAAACAGCTTGTGTTGAGTGCAGTTGAAGAGCACCCGAAAAGCGCATGAGCCTCGTCTGATACGTTGAAGGCTTGGCAGTGATCACGCTGTTCATCAAGAGGTCGGTGACCGGATTGAAAAAAGAATGCCATTTGACATGAGATTGCGTTCTGATCAGCGAAATTCAATGTCTTCCCCAATGCTCTCTCAGGTGCATAGTCCTTGCTCACCTAGACCGTTCCAAAATGGGCACTATCATTTTCATTGTCATTATTTTTCACTAGACTAGTGTATATGTTAGTAGTGTGAATTTCATTATTATTACCATTTTTTTTTGTAACAACGAATAGCTAATTGGTCTACTGATGTGTGACAAACATTGAGAAACGTTTGTGTATACACACGTCCAAGGCAAGGAATGTTAATTTATTTTTTATATAAAGAGAATAGTAAATATTAATGCATTTTTACACTTGTGCGATTTGGTTTTGTAAGCACCTCTTTAGAGTTGCCCTTGCATGACTTGCCAATTGCAACTTCTCTAGTCGATTGGATTAGTGCCATTCGTGAACCGGTTTGGCTTGTTGTTAAGTTTCTCTTTTTATTCGTTTCTTGTCCTGTATAGAAAGTCATAGATTAGGTCCTTTTATGTCATGAGATTGCACTTGTGGAAGTCAGATTACATCATGATCATGTGCTGGTCAATAACTATTGATAAACGGCAATTTTTTAACGATTTCAATCACATATGGCCACATAAATGACCAAACGTGATTACTGTAATTAGCAAACGTGATTACTGTAGGTAAAAACCTTGCGCAAATATAATGGAAGTGCCAAAGCTGGAACTTAAGCTTGGGAGGGATATCGATTTTAAGTAGTAGGAACAAAGCGAGAAATCCCTATTTTTATGAGGGCGAATTTGAGATTAACCCAAAAGAAAAGAAGTTTTTGCAACCCGGACCCACGCTTTCAATTTCTGCAAATGGGACCTTAAATTTGAAAACGCGTTGCAATAATGGTCCAATATAGAGGTGAAAATTCAGGCCGCATGACTCGGATAAAGGACCCAAATGGAAATTTCGTGCTGGCGCGGCTCGGCCCTGAAGGTGAAATGGTCAAACTAGCCCATCCTTAAAGCCCGACAGTCCTAAGGACGGCCTAGAATTTTGTAAGGAATTTTTTAAAAAGTTTAAAAAGAGGATGTTTGGACTGGGTTTGGCTGGGTCGGATCGGCTCGAATAAGCTTTTGAGATTGAAACCTTGGCCTGGCCAATGCACACGATTTTTGCACAAAATGTACTCGAAACATGTTGTTGCTTGGCAAGTTGGACTTTAGATTTATAAATTTGGTATTTTGGACCCTAATTGCCATTCATTATTAATTGAACTCTGTTAAAGATTGTGCCCCAGCGCCGCGGCGCCGCCATCCCGCCACCGCGGCGCCAATTTGAAAGCCTCCAGATGTGTGACAATGCGGCTGGCGCTGTGGTTCCCATTGACCGGGGCTGTGGTGCTACTCCGATTTTCCTCCTTTTTCGTTGCTTTTCTTCAATCCGTGATTAAGCTCCATAAACATAACAGACTTCTTAAAGCGTGTGAGCCTCGTCGGATATGTTCCAAGCTTGGCGGTGGTCACGCCGTTCTTGAAGAGGTCAGTGACCAGATTGAAAAAAAGAATGCTTCCTTCGACATAAGATTGTGTTTAGACCTTCGAAATTCATGTCTTCCACAATCCCCCCTCAGGATCATAGTCCTGATCCTTAGTCACCTAAATCATCCCCAAATGGACAAAATCATCATTTCGTCACTAGACTAATCTATATATTTTAGTGTGAAATGCATTATTCTTTTGTAATGACGAATAGCTAATTGGTGTGCTGAGTGTGACAAAACATTGAGAAACGTTTGTGTATACACACGTCCAAGACAAGGAAAAGGAAAGGAGAATGAGTAACGTTTATGCGTCTTTAGATGTATGCGATATGGTTTTGTAGATCGGGGACTTGTTCTGGCACCTTTTAAAGTCAGGGACCATAATGGGACTTGCATTATAGTTCGGAGACTAAAAATGGGATTATGTCAAACATTCTTAACCAAATATGTGGCGTTTCATGCATGTAACAATGAAAAGGGTCGTTTGGACATAAAGTGAAGAATAATAAGCCACCTTCAAGGGGAGGTTAATCGCCCCACAAGGGAAAGTTTAGAATAAAAGAATGCAGAAATCCGCGAGGAAAGCTATTTGACTTTGTACCATCTAAATTAACATGATCAGCTAGAATGGTTTTATTTATTTTTCCTATATATATATATATAAACATATTGTTTGTTTCCATGATCAAGAAACAAACCATCACATCTCAGCTTAATAAAGATCAATGGCGAATTGTCCGTGTAAGCCGGTTGTTGTAGAGACTGAACCTAGTTTTGCTTGGACAGAGGACTCAAATTGCCATTATCTTCAAATTGATATTCCTGGTATTGATAAAAAAATCCTCACTATCACTATTCTCTACATGGTTTTGCAATATCTTGGTTATTTTTCTTGTAAATGCTATTTGTCTGTTCCCATGATATGGTTTTCTTTTCCTCCAATGTTCACTTTTATATGAAGATGAACATAATGGATATTATTTTATTTCTGTAGAAAAGTGGAGAAACCAAGATAGAAATTCTTGATTCTCATCAAACATTTCCACCCTGAATAGCCTAAAATCATATCATTGACATATTTCTAGAAAAAATTCCTTGTGAACTTAAATTAATTTCATAAACCAAGTACTCAATTTAGAAAATCCTAAAACATTCTACAATTACTCAATTGAGAAACTATGCTTTCATATACTTTTTGTGATTGTTATTTTCTTTTTAAAGGTTTCGAGAAGTATGAGGTGATGGTGCAATATTTTACCTCCGGATTTATAAAGGTCAAAGGAGAAAAGCTGGTAAATGAGAATAAAACTCTTCGATTCGAGCAGAATTTCAAGGTTCCAAAATCCTCAGACTCACATGGCATCAAAGCAAAATTTAAAGGTGGAATTCTCTACATAACAATTCCAAAGCATAAGGTGGAAGAGAAGAAAGAACCTGAACCTGCTAGTATAAAGGAACAAGGTGTTGTTCCAAAGCTGGACGAGCCACAAGAGAAGAAAGAACCTGAACCTACTGCCATTAAAGATAAAAGTAGTGCTCCAAAGTACAACGCAGAAGAGAAGATCGCTGACATAAAGGATCAAGGTGCTGTACCAAAGCCCGAGGCAGAAGATAAGAAAAAGCCTGAACTTGTTAGCATAAAGGATCAAGATGTTCTTCCAAAGAAAAAGGCAGGAGAGAAGAAAGAACTTGAACCTGCTTGCATAAAGGATCAAGGTATTGTTCATAAACACGAGGCGGGAGAGAAGAAAAAACTTGAACCTGCGAATGTAAAGGACCAAGATGTTGTTCCAAAGCACAAGGCAGATGAGAAGAAAGAACATGGACTTGCTGGCACAAAGGATCACAGTGTGAATGGCACCACAAAAATGAACATACACAAAATAAGGAATGAAGAAGTGAAAAAGAAAGAGGACAATATACTTGGTAATGGCCAGCAGGTCTACGGAAGCAAGAAGGAAGAAGGAAAGCACAGAAATGCTCCTATGAGTTTCTCTGAAGATACTGTGAGGAAATGGGAAGGTGAGCCTGGTTATCTAAGTAGTGCAATGGAAATGTTGAGCCAAAACAAAGGGGTTATCGCGACATCCGTATTAGCATTCTCATTAGGCGTCTTCATATGTCTGAAAATTCGGGCTCGTCAAAAGAATGCTCTGTAATTTGTGTATTGTTGCTTGTAGCTTCTTCTATTATCATTGTTATGTAACTTATACCGCATAATATAATAATACTGTGATGAAGACTTAAACATTTTCCTAGCTAACATAAAGGGTAAAGTTAATATGTTATATTTTCATGCACGCTAACGAGTGTTGAAATGTTTCAACCTGCAGGAAGCATGAAATCCTCAAGAAATTCTTTAAAGTCTGAATATCTTAAACTTTGGTTTGTTACTATTGTTTTAGGGAAACCCTCTCTCTCCTTTGTTTTGATCAGCAATAAAACAAGCTTGCAATCGTAAAAGCCTGCACTTAGAAATATGGTTTTCCTGCTATATACACAATAGATTAATTTGATAATGGCCCTTGAACTTTCTACTCTGCTTCAACATGCCCCTGATTTTTGAAAAGGGTTCAATTCGCCCTATGAAGTATGAAAAGTGGTTCAAAACTCCCTATGAATTAATGTTATTTCATAAATGCCCCCTGAACTTCCTTTTCTATCCAAAAATATGATTAGATAAGAAAAACAAGAAATTTCTGTAAAGAAAAAGATCAAATATAAAGGAAAAAAAAAAAAAAAAAACTTTTTATTGAAAGGACAAAATGATAATTTTATATCGACAACGAGTTCAGGGTACAGGGTGCTTGAATGATATGTTTTTGAGTATCAAAGTACCCCAAACGTCTACCTTGGATCCCCCCACACACACACAATTAGGCTCACATGATAATCAGACTTGAGTACGTACATAAGAAATCAGTCGTTGTACTGTTCATGAGTTTCCTTTTTTTTCCTCTCTCTTTGGCATATTTCCCCCTCAATTACTTATCATGATTGGCAAGTTATGCTCTACATTTTTAAGTATAGTAAAATACCCCCTGAATTTAATGAAGTATTGTAGAGTGCCGCCACCAAATCAATGACTCCTGTTAAAATTTGGATGAAAGTGCCATTGTACACGTTAGGTGAGCTCATTTGAAGGAAGAGATTGAAATTTCAATCGACAATTAAAGCACGTTATGTCACATGCATACGGGTGTTTGTTTCCAAATCTTAATTACACCATTTATCCATTGTGGAGGCACTTGAAACATTTGTTTATATTAAGCACAAGTAAAGTCTCCGGAGGCAACATGCCAATCCAGTCATTCTTTTTGGGGGCCAAAAGGAGCAAAGATCTTTGTCCCCCTCACTGTCTTCATGGCCAGTTTTTTTTCATGTTCTTCAGTTCAAGAGACTGCCTTTAATTCTTTTCCCCTCTATTTTTTGTTCTTAATTTCTTTTCTTTACTTGGATTCTCAAGGGTTGATAAAATGAGGAAAACTTGTTTAATGGAGATTCATAATCCTCGTCTAGATGGGAAAGGAAATCTTTCACATGACAAACTCTCCAGTTATGCCTTTAATATATCAGTTTTAAGTTGGTTGCATTAAACTCCGATTATATAGCCTCTTTCATTGCTGAAGGTAATCTGACCAGCTTATTTAGTAATAAATTGAATAGTTGACTAAAAAAAAAAATTGTAACAGTTAAATGAAATTGGGTTCTTATGAGACCACATCATCAAATTTCTACATTTTATAGTAACTACTAATAGAAACGTAACCGTACACTCGTCAATACATACATACATATGGAAATTTGATAACTTACCGTGATAATAATTCAGTTTCATTAATTGTCATTAATTTTTTTGGTCAATTATTTAATTTATTACAACCGTCGGATTAAATATCTTACGGTTAAAATAACGATACCTGTCGATAGAAAATATTTGAATAACCATTAAAATCACATCCATATTGTAACGACTGGGAAAATTTTAGATCTAATCCGGTCAGTCTGGTATTTGACCGAAATTCTCTCTGGAATAGAAAGTAGTATAATTTCAGCTTGATCAAGAAAATGTTATGTAGAAACTTTATGTACGGGGTAAAATTTTCCCGAGAAGTGTAAAGTTATAATACGAATGCTTTTACAGAGAAAATTCGTAAATATCAGTTATGAATAGTGAAATATCAGTTAAAAGTTAGAAATTTTAGCGGGTATATTTTAATTATGAAAAACTGAAATATTTGGTATGTGACCAAATGACCAGTTAGAAAAAGAGTAGAAATATTAGAAGTAAGGAAGATAGAATTAGTTCCTGAAACATGATTTTTCCGAGTCAGTTAAAACGGGAAACTGCTCAAAAACCAGTACCGTAAAGGTAAGCGTTCTGGGCAATTCTGAATCAATTAAAATGAAAATTTCAGAAGAGGAGATTGATTAATGAGATTCCCAAGAGAATTGGGTTGAATGTGAAAAGTTTGACTCATGGTACTCGACAGTCCAGAAAAGCAGTACAGAACCTGTACAGGGTGTGAGATTATCGGTACTGGAAAGAGACTCGTTTTGAAAAATGAAAAGTTGAGTCTCGACAAGAAAAATGTGGGGAACATAGAACCACTCAAATTAAGTGATAAACTTACAAAAATTAGTAAAAATAAATTAAGGGAATTAAATTAATATCTTTAATTTAGAAAGTAATAAAAAATAATAATAAAATGTTCATTTGTTCCTAAAATGCCTAAGAAGGAATTAGAAGCCACATTTGTTCTATTTTCCTAAGTGTGGCCGACCAAAGAGGGAAAAGAGAGAAAACTAAGGGAAATTAAAGGAATCAACCGTTTTCACCGAAATTCCTTCCGTTCAGTCCGGTAGAAACGTAACCCGAGGCATTCTAGCGGAGAATCTCAACTTCTAGAATTAAGATTTCAGATTTTTCATGATAAATTTCATGTTTTTCGTTTTTGATGAATAGTAACTCATATCTGAAAAAATCCGTAAAACTGAAAATCGAAACCGAGGTTTCATAGGGGGCTGTGATAGGAGTTCAACGTGTAAATATTGAAACGATTGAACAAAATTTTTTAGATTAACACTAAAAATCCGAAAACCCTAGAAAATGAAAAACATGTGTTTTTATTCAATTTTATGTTGGAATCTGTGTTGATGAATATGAATCTTGACTCCGAGTACCGAAATCAGAAGTAGAACGAGTTATTGAAAACTTGGGCAACGAGAAAAATAATGCGAAACTCTGCCAAAATTTCCTAAAATCTTGTTAGTAAGCAATGAGTTAGGTATTCGATTCTTGAAAATGAATAACAGTTTTAAGGCTCGAAAATGAATAGATTGAGGTTCATAAACCGAGACACACGAATTTGTGGGATTTGCCTCTTAAGCTAGAAATTCGGCCAAGAGGGGTCAAATTCATAAATGAGTTTGAAATTAGATTTAAGAATCTAAGTATGAAGATTTTTGATTTGGAATAGGAAATTGATACCTATTTTCATGAAACAGGTTTTGGCACGAAAGCTGAAGCAACAAGAAAGAACTTCCAGCAAGCGGGAATCCTAGCGGATTATGTGTGAGTATAGACATATATGTTTGTCTGGACTCGAGTAAACCGTAGTAGACTTAGAATTATGAATTTACTTATATTCCAAAGTCGATGTGATATGAAGTGTTTGGAGGGCTTAGTGCCCTAGATTGCAGAAGGGCGACATATGGTTACCTTTATGCTCAGTTAAAGTATGGATGAAGTATTATGCATTTTCATGTTAGCATGTGCACGTAGAGAAAACGTTGCATATCATTCAGTAAAGTTTTTGACGCTTTGAACTGCAAACCCAAAGTTCAATAATGTAAAGAGACTGACGGGTCGCCAGCCTCCCAAGGGAGGAAATATTAAAGAGTAGAGATTCCAACTAGACCAGACAGTAAGCAGGGGCTCAGGCCCACATTAGTAAGAATAGAAAGACAGAAAGCAGTTTTTAAAGCATGTTTCACATGAGCATATTTGCATCATAACTCTTAATGTAATTTTACTAGTTTATGATGTGTGCATGTTTATACTTGCTGACTGTTCGCTCATCAGTTTACTCGTGTACAGGTAACAAAGGTAAGCAGCCAGTCATATAGTGGCTTTGCTTGATGGACTGGCAGATGCAAGGTGGCGGAAATGTCATGGGTACACGGGAGTGGTCTCTACTACGCCCGCTTAGAAAATGAATTCCGCTGCAAAGTAATGTAACATAGAACACTAGTATGTATATTTAGTTTTAAGAAAAAGATATTACAACCATTGTCTTAGTAAAGAACAACGGACTGTAATAAGTTAAGACAAGTTTTCGGGGACTAGTTCCATATCTGAATCCTTAAAGTAATAGCAAGATATGTTATTCGTGTAACCACATAACATGCTAGAAATGTGTTAAGAACCCGAGGATTAAAGTAAAGAAAAAAATATTTACTCGTGTATGAACGTAAACTAAAGAGACGAAAGTCTAGTAATAAGTAACAGATTAGACTATAACTCGGCCTAATAGTAGTAGTATAAGGTTGGCAACCCGCCGCTAGGGCGGAGGCATCACATTTGGTATCAGAGCGGCGTTCCTACTCATGCCATGACAATCCCGCACCTATGCTTCTGCACACTCCAGGTAAATTAGTTTATGAACTAAAACTAAAATTGCTTATTTCTTTTGGCAAGACGGAACATGTACTAATGGATCGATCACATCCATCATCACGGTTAGCGCCCACATCACGAGAGAATACGTTGTGGGGACGGATAAGAACGTTTCTAACCTCACGGTTCTAACAACCAGAAAGGTCGGTACCCACTCCTTCTGGATATAGCCATCCATCCGTGGATCGGGAATTAAAGGCTCTAGAGCCCATAGTGACCGAGGCTGCACATCGAGCAAGGAGAGGCGTCTTGACTACAGGTCGAGCCGCAGCCAAGTTCTACACCTGTAATCCACCCTTCTACGATGGACTCTCACATCCCACTAGAATTAGGGATTGGCTACACCATGTCGAGTACGTGATGCGAGCCTATGATATAGCTCGGGACGAGTGGATTGCGCTAGCAGCTAGTTTGTTGGAGGGTAATGCCCTAATATTTTGCTAGGCTTTGTATGAGGATGAAATAACATAGATGCAATAGGAAGGTTTTTGCTACATGTTGAAACATCAGTTCCTTCCCCAGGTCATGCCATCAGAGTCGGCACCACAGTTGAGTGGA